CAAAATGTAAAGATAGAATACGAGAAAAATTAAGGAAGAGAAAAGGAGATCAGAGCAACTGAAACAAGTAAAGGATTATATACAGGATATATACCTTTTCTGCAGCCTTCCTCAGGGTATGCTCAAAATAGTGTAGAGAGGTCTAGATCACACACAATAAGGAACAAGAAACAGATTCACTAAGCAAAAGTTGTATCTCAAAGGTTTTATAAGGAAGTTTGATCTCAACTCAGTTTAGTAGAAATTAAATTAAAGGCAGAAATCCAGACCTTAGTTTTATCACGTAATACAAATAGCAGTGTTGTTTTCCGAGCACTGAATAATTTCATCATAACCTGATTCAGAAAAAAAATATGCAATAAGATTGCAAGCACAATAAACATGCACACACTTAGAAGGATTTGCACAATAGAATAATCAGTACCTGAAAAACAGTTCTCAGTAGAGGTTTGTTGGCAGCATGCTCCAGACCAACATTGTGACACCACCTGTATTTACATCCAACGCACATGAGTTGATCCAATATTTAGTTTCAGTGACTAGGGATTTCAAAACCTATATTGGTAGCCCTTAATTTGAAACACCAAGGCATACAATTCATACAGTGTTTACCCAAATCCTAAGTCCAATACTACTTGGAAGACCAAACTCATATTTTTTCTTATACCGTGTCATTCGAGCTTGTTCATAGGTAAAAGTTGTAGGCTCCACAGCTTGAGACAAGTTCAAGGTTATCCAAGATCCAACCAAGGGCAAGTAACCATCAAATCCATATATATATATATATATATATATATTGAATATTGTATCAAATTCAAAGCATATCTAGTTATATTAAACACTTACATGTTTATTATCACAATATCAGCAATGACCAAAGCGAATAAAGCACTTTGTTTCTCAAATGCAGTGTCATCCTGAAAATAACAGAAATCCCCGAGTGTTTGAATACAAACAAAAGTTTTGAGAATTAAGCAAGTATTCACTATAAATACAGATAATCTTGCAATAATCCACCTTTATTAAATCGATTAACAGACCAAAATTTATCACAAAAATATAGTTGGAATAACTAATTAATAGACTTGGTATATTTAGTCACATACACAATTGAGAGGTCCATTATATAGGGTTCTTTTGGGTCAAGTTATCACCATATTTCTAGCAATTGCCTCTATAAAACAAATTCTGAGAAAATTTGACTTTATCAATTTTTCTTCAAATTAAGCTAATTATTCTTACCTCGCCTCTTTCACTTCCATCAGTACCCTCCAAATCCATGGCAACAACACAAGGCTCAAAACCAGCACACTTTTCAATCCAAATGCCTTGGGTGGTTTGAGGCCTGCAATGAAAACTGGATCACTTTTTGCATATATAACACTCGTATGAAAGCATGCAGCTGTATAGTATAAAAGAGTAAATACATATTTCTTCCTTTTGAATGAGAATAATGAAAGAACAAACCTTCCTTTGGATGCATCCATCTCTTCGAAATTTGTATGGAAAAGATGATTCAAGAGAGTGCTCTTCCCTGTTAATAGAGCAGGATGGTTTTTAGTTTACAAGCTAGACACTTAATTATAAGCATATATACATTGTATACATTTACAGAGTGGAAAAGCTAAATACTAGTCAATATATGGGGTATTTCACCTAGAATTTTTATTATTATCATATTTTATAAATTTTTTAATTACAACAAAAATTATAGAAGGATTTATCACTTATAATGAATTTCATATAAAAATTTTGATAAATTTTATATTATTTTAAAGTATAATTAATTAATTATAAAATAATAATTATACGTGATATACTTTCTTTGATATACTGATTAGCAACTTGACGTCGACGTTCAAAAAATATAAGGATATTCTTAAATTTTATGATAGTTATTCCAACTTTAAAATATTTGGAAACGGTAGAGACTGTATTAGCGTATTTATATACTCAGGATACCTCTAATTTAATTGATCCACCTTAATATATTTAGCTAAACATGTCATTCATTATATTATATATTTTAATAATAATTTAATGAGTATTATTTTTAATAAGCCATGTTTGATACATAAAATCATTAATAAGATAAGATAATAATTATTTATATCATATTTGATTTGTATTTTTAAAAAAAGATAGGGATTGCAAGGAAGATTAATATTTTTTTAGCATAAGATTATTCAATTCTCCAAAAGTAAAAGTATTATTTTTAATCCATGAAATTAAACTTATATATCTAATTATATCATTAAAAATTACATTAATAATTTAAATTATATAAACTTTTAAAAAAATAATTTTAATAAATAAATAAATTATCATATCCTAATTTTACATACATCAAATACAAAATCAGATAATATTATTTAATCTAATCATACTTATAATATCATTTTATCTTATCCTATCATAATTTTATGTACTAAAAATAATCTTAATTTATTAAATAAATATAAAAATATAAATATTTCATTTCATTAATTATATTGTTTTATGTATTATTTATTTATTATTTTATCATATCCATTTAAATTTAATATCTAAGTTTCATTTAATGATAGATTATATTATTTTGATATAATAAAACTTTAATAACTTAAATGACTTATGGTAAGTGGATTTGTTCAAATATTAAGCCATGCGTGTAATTTAGCCATTGAATGAGTTTTGGAGCTCGATCTCAACCTAGCTTGACTTGAATAACTATTTAATAAATAAAAATATATTTATTTAAAATCAATCTTAAAAATATATGTAATATTAATATAATAATAATTTTTTAATATTTTTATACAGTAATCGAATCAATTCGATTCAATTTTAGTAACTTTTTGAAAGCTCTTAGAAAGCAACATGTGGGATCTAAACAGGTGTCACTTCTCGTGATGTGGGATCTAAAAAAAATTAAACACAAGATTTGATCAATATATACTTACTATAACAGCTAGTCAAATACTTTTATCATGGTTTTTATGCTGTTGTCTTTTAATGCAAGGGCTGGATTTCTTTTAGTTATTTTTAATCGTGTTTAAACTTATAAAGTTGACTTAAAAAAAAAAAAAAAACTTCATTTTCAGGTCTTGTGTAGAAGAAAAAGAACTCAAGGAGAAGAATCCATATAGTGCACACACCGCTGCTTTGGGGTCCCATGATGCCGACAACAGCATAAGAGAGGCCGCACTCAGAAAACTTGGTTTTCTGCATGAATTCTTTAACTCCGGCAACATTGAATTCTCCTTCTCTGTTAATCAATTGCATGGAGCAGTGGTCAATATTTTCCATCTCCAAAATCAACAAGAATCGCCTCAAGATCAGGGATGGCTCTTCCTCAACAAGTGAAGATATTCGATCGTACTAAACAAACAAGCAACCGATTAACGAATCTTACAAGTAAAAACAGTTTGATGTTATTAAACTTGACACCAAAAACATGGAAATTAAGAAACACCTTCTACTTTACCTTATTATGCTTGCTTTTCCAATCTGCCAGCAAGCCTCTTCTGTTGTTACAAGCGTATGAAATTAAGTAGGAAAGTCTCTTTCATTTATTCTTTCTTCCCTTTTTTTTAACTGAGAGAGTCTTCAAGTTATTGGTCAATATATAGTCTTTCAAATATCAATAAAGTTATGCAGAAGGACAAGCAGAGGACCCCAGAAACAGTTGAGTTATTTAACTGCATAACAGACAGCTACAAAAATACAAATGCGATACAAACTATATATATATATATATAGAAACAGTTGAGTTATTTAACTGCCTAACAGACAGTTACAAAAATAAAAATGCGATACAAACTATATATATATATATATATGTGCGTGCGCGCATAAGAAAAATTTAATTTACGTTAAGAAAATTTGTAATTTTTTAATCATTAATTTTAATCAATTTAAGAACTAAAATTTATTTTTTTTAATTAATTGTCCCCTATATACAAAGGTGGGATCAACTTACACAATATAATTCTTTTATTTTTATATTTTTTTAATTATTAATTTTAATAGATTTAAGAGATTAAAGAAGCAAGCAAAAATAAGAAAAATGGTTTAATATCATAGATCTAATAAAATCAATAATTAAAAAATATGTAAAACAAAAAAAATTACAATGTATAAATTGATCCCTCTCATTCATATATATATATATATATATATATATATTGATGCTATTCTTATGGTTAAGCTAGAATAACACTAATATAACAGTTTAAAATGAATTTTAAAACAATATGATTGACAAGCACCATGATAAGGAATTCTGTCTGTATATGTACAAACTAGCTAGGCTTTTGTCCTGCTTCGTGTACTTTAGCTCATAATTACAATAAAATTAACCCGATAGTTCAAGAAATAGAGCTGTATAATAGATTCAATTTATAATTTGCAAGTTTTCTTTGGGCTTGCTCAACCAAAAAAATTGTCCAAAATTTCTAATTAATTTTAAAATCTTAGAAGTGTTAGATTCAAGTATTATTATGTGTTAGTTTGATTAAATTTTATATTAAATTTATTTAATTATATTATAATTTATTAATTGATTATTCAATTATTTTGATATAATTTTATAAAAATATATATAATCAATATAGATTAATTTTTTGAAATATGAATTAATAAGGTTGAAATTACTCTCCCTCTTTGAAGAAATTACAGTTAGCTAGAGAAAGACATAGATGGATTAAAAAGTATCAGGAAAATTTAACTATAACTTAACAGTTTCCGATTCCACACCTTATGAAGTTAGATCTCTTTGGTAGATATGCTTTTGTATTTTTCTTTTTGTTTTTTATTTATTTTTTTCTTCTTCTTCTTTTCTAGGGGAGGTGATTTCCTGGAAGCTCGTTTTGATGTGAATTTCGGTGATGAGAGTGATTGATTGGGTATTTGTATTGGACTTTGTTTACATTAAAAATGGGCCTTGTATTGGGCTTTCTTTTTTTAAACATAGGAAAAAGAAATCTAAAAAGCCTGTATTCTCCCCCCACAGTCAACGCCGCCCCTTTTTCTTCACTGCCTCTTTCGCTGCCGTTTAAGCCACGCGCCGCCGCATCGCCGGTCTTTCTCTCAATTTTAATCGAGACTTAATTTTCAGGTTTGCTTCCTTAAATAAATTTCAATCTTTTCTCCTTTTCATTTTTTCCAGTTTTAATTGCCGCTTAATTTCTTTTTCCAAACCCTCGGGATTTCAATTGGCCCCCAAATGGGAAAAAACGATTTCTTAACCCCCAAAGCAATCGCAAATCGAATCAAAGCCAAAGGTCTCCAGAAGCTTCGATGGTACTGCCAAATGTGCCAAAAGCAATGCCGAGACGAAAACGGATTCAAATGCCATTGCATGAGCGAATCTCACCAACGCCAAATGCAAATCTTCGGGCAAAACCCGGACCGGATGGTATCCGGATACTCCGAAGAGTTCGAAAAAAACTTCCTCGACCTCATGAAACGTAGCCACCGGTTCAGTCGCGTCGCCGCCACCGTCGTTTACAATGAGTTTATCCATGATCGACATCACGTTCATATGAATTCGACCCAATGGGCTACGTTAACGGAGTTCGTTAAGTATTTGGGACGAACCGGGAAGTGTAAGGTTGAAGAGACGCCCAAAGGTTGGTTTATTACTTATATTGATAGAGATTCAGAGACTATATTTAAGGAGAAAATGAAGAATAAAAGGATTAAATTGGACATGGTAGAGGAAGAGAAACAAGAGAGGGAAATTCAAAAGCAAATTGAGAAAGCTGAGCAGTTAAGAACGCCATTGGAATCTGAGGAGAATGTTAAAAAGGCTGTAACAAAAGAGTTGAATTTAGAGAGTGGAGTGAAAATAGGGTTTTCTTTAGGAGTGGGAAATGTCTCAAAAGGAGAGAAAGGGGAGAGTTCAAATACTTCTAGAATGGTTTTCGAAGAGGAAGAGAATGATAAGAAGAATAAGAATGAGAGGAAAGAGAATAGTGGGAGGAAAAATGCTTTGGAAGAGTTGATGAGGGAAGAGGAGAAGGCGAAGGAGAGAAGTAATAGGAAAGATTATTGGCTTTGTGAGGGGATAGTTGTGAAGGTGATGAGTAAAGCATTGGCGCAAAAAGGGTACTATAAGCAGAAAGGAGTTGTGAGGAAAGCGATAGATAGGTATGTAGGGGAGATTGAGATGCTTGAGAGTAAGCATGTGTTAAGAGTTGATCAGGAAGAGCTTGAGACTGTGATTCCGCAAATTGGGGGAATGGTAAGGATAGTAAATGGGGCATATCGTGGGTCGAATGCAAGGTTGTTGGGTGTGGATACAGAGAAGTTTTGTGCAAAGGTGCAGACTGAGAAAGGGGTGTATGATGGGAGAGTGCTTAAGGCTATCGAGTATGAGGATATATGCAAAGTTGCTCAGTGAGTTCTGCCTATTATTTTGGCATATAGTGATGGAATTTGATATTTTTGCTCTTTATCAGTTGTTCCTCAAAACCCTATAGCTTTGCTATGATGGTTTTTGTTTGCTAATGTATCATTTGCTTGATAAATGCTAAGAAACTGTGTTAAAAACTTTCACTATCCTTAGTCTTCTGGAAATTTCAGCATTCTGAATTGGTAAATTTTTAGGGATCAGGACCCCTAACAGTGAGTAAATTGATTATTCATCAATTTCTATGCTAGTATGCTTATTTTCTTGCTTATTTTCCTTGTGTTTTCTAGGTAGCCGAATTGAATGGATCTCATTTACCTACACATCCAAATGCAAATATAGTGCCTTAAACTTGATCTAAGAAACTATGTACTCCTCCAATTCAAAACTTCCATGGAATGCCTTAATTTGCTGACAAGTATTTTCCTTAGTGGATTCTTTGGCCCTAACTTACATATGTAGGATAGCTAATACCACAAAACTAAGATTCTTTATTTTCTATTTTCTACATTTGGTTGCCTCTTGTGTTGGCTTCTGGAATGGCTTTGTAGCTTGAGAATTATTAGATTGCTGGAATCCTGAAAACTTAATTTTTGTTTTAGTTAGAGATTGAACCTTAATGTATTGGCTCAACACAAAGTTGATGTTAGTTAGGTTATGAGCCCAACCAACGGGCTAGGTTTTGAATATGTGGACGATGGAAGAGTGCTGAAGGCTATTGAGTGTGAGGCTATATAAATAGTTTCCCAATGAGTTCTACGGAGAATTTTAGCTTATGTTGATAGAATCTGATCTTCTTGTCGTATCAGTTGTTTTCAAATCATAGAGCTTGCGTTGATGTTGTATCAGTCTATCCCATTAGACAGCATACTTTGATTTTCTAGCACAATGTAGTGATCTAGGCAGCCGATATTAGCATATCTCCTATGAAATAAAAGCTTCTGCAACTTAGTACTGTATGATAAATGAGTACAGTTTCCAATGTTTTCGCTTGCCAGCCTTTGATTTCTACTATAATCAAGAAAATCATGCTGTTATTGAGTGTGATAGAGAGTTTTAGCTGAAAATTAGGTGAAGAAAGCAAGGAAAAGAGAATGGAACTTGTGGGAAGTTGCCCTGCCTTGTGGGATCTGAATTTCTGTTACAAGTAACATGTATTCTTTTTCTGGTTTAGCCTTCTAGCAAATGTTTATCATCTAAAACAGCAGTGATCAGCTTAACAGGGGCAGAAAGAGAGGTGTGGGGTGGCTGGCTCCATGGTGGCAGCCGCCTTTATTTAAGAAGAGGCTGACAGCTGAAGCCCCTACCTCTTACCAGCCTAAAGTCAATGGTGGCCAGAATGAATTGATGGGTACAAAAATGCTTAGTTTGATGGGGAAGACGTCTTTCTTTGGCGCTTTAATTTATTAATTTAGTTATGCAGCAGCGTTCAACTACTCACAAGAACGACATTAAGATAGTGATAAATAAATTTTGTATCTCCAAAAGCCAAAGCAGAGTTTTCGCCTTAGCTTAAGATGGAAAAATTTTATAAGGCTTAGAAATTTGAATATCATACTTAAATGACAGTAGCCTGATTTAAATTTGACAGTTTAAATTTAGTTAAATTAATATGACAAATAAAAAATAATGATATTTTAATCTCATTTGTAAAATTTGTAGCTTTATATAAGTTAGTAAAATGTATCATATGACAATTTTTTAGTTGTGGAATTTAAAAAATTTACCAATCATAAATAAAAACGAACTCCTATATATATCAAAGTTAAATTTTAAGAAGAAAGCTTTGAGATTTATCCTGTGACGGAAGTAATCTACCTATATACTAATCTTGTAAGCAAGATGATGACGTGTCAAGACCATCATCGTTAAATCAGAACCCACTGCACGTGGAGGCCAGGAATCGTGTCAGCTTTATCGAGCAATTCAGATGGGGTGTGGTTCATCAGCCTAGATAGTTAGCTCTCCTACCCCAACCATACTCCTTTAAGATATATCCTATCTCAACTCTCAATTCCAGTACTTCCCATTTCCTAAACTAACAACCGCTTCACACATTTATTGTCAAGTTATAAACTTTGAGATCTCCGAACTCAAAAGATCCAACTTTGCAAGCTTAAGTCTTCAAAGGTTTGTTCCTTTTCCCATAACAAAAATTGGGTCTCTCTTGTTTTGTTCTCAGAAAGGATGAAGGTCACTCTAGTTTCACGCAGTGGAAGAGAGTTTATCAAAGGAGGCCTTGAGCTTCATGACTCAGTATGTCTTTTTATCTTTCATGGGTTTTACTTTCTTTTTTGTTTTATATTGTTAGGCTGATTGTTTGCTTGGAAGATGAAGGGAAAGATGGGAAATTTATTGTGTTTCCTTTCTTCTTTTTTTTTTTTTTTTCAGGCAACTGTGGCTGATCTGCAGGAGGCAATTTACAAGAGAAGTATGTGATTTCCTTTCTTAGTAGTTAAAAATTAGCTTAATTGCTTACTCTGTTAGTCAATTCTTCCTTCTATTTAAGTTTCAGATGGGTTTGTAGAATAGATATTTCTTGAATTCCATCCATATTGATGTGAAAGAAAATCTTGCCAGTTGCAACATATATTACTTTGTTGCCCCTTTCTACTCGTGAGGAAAGGGGTTGTATGGGGTTTGTTATAGTTTGGCATTTGAGTGGTAATAAATGCCGACATTTTGATGGATTTTTTTGCCTTTTTATTGTCATCTTCAACCTTTGCCCCAATTCCTCAAGAGATGTGTTTTTGATAGCATGTGTGTAGGCAGCTTCATTGGTCATTAGATTCTTATCAACTGAATTCTCATGTGTTGTACGAGCAGCTAAAAAGTTCTATCCTTCAAGACAAAGACTAACACTTCCTGTGCCATCGGGATCAAAGGAGAGGCCTGTTGTCCTTAGCTACAACAAGAGTCTCAAAGACTACTGCGATGGAAACCAGAACAACATAACTGTAGTGTTCAAGGATCTGGGTCCTCAAGTGTCTTATCGTACGCTTTTCTTCTTTGAGTACTTGGGTCCTTTAGTCCTCTATCCTATCTTCTACTACTTTCCTGTGTACAAGTTCTTCGGTTACGAAGGGAAGCGTGTCATCCACCCTGTTCAAACATATGCTTTATATTACTGGTGTTTCCACTACTTCAAGCGTATCATGGAAACATTCTTCGTCCACCACTTCAGCCATGCAACATCTCCACTATCAAATGTCTTCAGAAATTGTGCTTATTACTGGACCTTTGGTTCATACATTGCTTACTACGTAAACCATCCACTCTACACACCAGTTAGTGACCTTCAGATGAAGATTGGGTTTGGGTTTGGATTGGTTTGTCAACTGGCAAACTTCTATTGTCATATCATACTGAAGAATCTACGCAGCCCTGATGGGAGTGGAGGGTATCAAATTCCTCGTGGCTTTGTGTTCAACATTGTGACATGTGCAAATTACACAACAGAGATTTACCAATGGCTGGGTTTCAATATTGCTACGCAGACTGTCGCAGGCTATGTATTTCTTGTGGTTGCTACTTCTATCATGACCAATTGGGCCCTTGCGAAGCACCGCCGTTTGAAGAAGGTATTTCCCTTAACTTTTTTGGTTGAACTACCATATCACATAGCTTTTGTGGATACCATTAAAGTTGCCTTCATTTTCAACACCACACTGAAATCTCTTACTTTAACTCTGCCTTTCCTTTCTGCCTAAAGCTGAAAGTAAACTGGATTGGTTTTCATTTAATTTGAGAAACAAATACTGGATTAGGATTTCTTTGAGCAACATGTGATTTGCTTCATTATGCTAATCAAATGTATAGGCAAAGCTCTCTGCATATAAAATTCTATAAGTTCATATATGATGCCTTTGTGGTTATGGCTGGAGGTTATACTTTTTATCATTTTATCTTTGTCTTGCTAATAGATATAATATCAACTCTGTTAATCTTTAGTCTTTGTTAGGTACATTTTCCTGTCTTGAATTAAAGTTTCCCCTTACCTTTTACTTCATGTCACTCGCAGCTCTTTGACGGTAAGGAAGGAAGGCCCAAGTACCCCCGCAGATGGGTAATTCTTCCCCCATTCCTGTAGAATGAGGGCCGAACCTCCTACTTATTGGTCTTGTTTTGGTATTTTCATTCTAGAAGCATGGATTCAAGAGTGTTGAAGATCAATTCTTGTCGGATTTGAACTTAAGATCACCCTCCACAAAATTTTAGTCTTCTGTTTAGATAATGTAATGCCTTTGAAATGCTTAAGGATGTTTTTTTTTGTTGTTTCTCATATTTACTTCTCAATCCAATCAAGTTACTCTTTGGTGGAAAAACTTAGACTTAGCAATCTAAAATACATAACATGATGACATGACACGAGCACGAAAATGATATAATTTAAAATTTTAATAATAATTACATATGAATTTAATAAAATTAAAAATATATTTTATGTTTTTATTTTGATATGAATTATAACATGTATTTTTTATAAAATATAATATAAATATTTTTTTATAAAATATAATATAAATTTTAATATTTTATATGATATAAATACATGAATGGTTAGATTTAAAAATAAATATTCGAATATTTACATAAAATCATTTGCTGATTTAAACCATTAGTGTTGGTTGTTATTTGGTTGCACAAGGCAGATGCCATTATCTGATACTTCTGACAGCAACTACAATTCCCTGCCCCTGGTTTTGAATTTGAGGAATGGTGGCAATGGCAGTAGGTTGTTTAGCAGCTAAAGCAAAGATAGTCAAATGGTTGTACCCAAAAAAAAAAGAAATTAAAGTTGAATGGTGACAGCTAAATCAAACAACAAAAGTCTTTCTAGTTACTTGACAGACATGTTCCAATTTGAGTTCTTTAATAAAATATAATTTCAAAACCTTAACTTGTGTAAGTTTCTAAACTCAATTTTAATGAAGAAATTGAGATGTGAAACTTGTCCAATCATAACATCACAACAATATCTAACTGTCTTAGTATTCAAATTTTGCTTTTTATTTTTTTATAAATAAGTCGCAATCATGAAGTATGAAAAAGATTATAAATTATAAATTTTAAATTTATTAAATATTATTTTTTAAAAATAATTAAATGAAAATATATTAAACTTTATGAGAATTTTTTTTCTAGTGATCCAAGGGGTGGAAAATAAAAAAAAAAATACAACTAAGAATCTATGATGACTGATACTTATTATATAATTTATTAGAAATAATTTAGTTGGTAACTATTTTGGTACAAAATATATGATTTTTAGGATTGAATTCGATATCATATGGTAATTTTTTTAAAGTGTAAAAATGGTCGGTCCATTGGGGTTTTGACAACTATTTTTTGTTGGAAGAGTTGCCTCAACAAAGCTTTGAATTTTAAATTTTTATTAAAAATTTTATGCAGAATAATAAAAATTTTCTTTTTCTTATAAGTTCTCAAAATATTTTAAAAAAATTAAGTTCAAAATATTTCAATGATATATGCCAAATTTTTTAAATTGAAAATATAATTTCTATACAATCTTAAATTTGATTTAATAAGCTAAATAATTTTTTATTAGTGTCTATATATATATAAAAAAAAAAAAAAAAAAAAACTAAGAAAAGTCAAAGGTTAGGAAATCAGTGGTAACTAGGCCAAACCAAGTGGCAAAAGGCAGTGAAAACAACGACCGGAAAAGCATGAGAATAAGAGCCCAATGACGCGTTCTCTCCAAATCCAACGGCCCGCATTCATTCACCTCCTCTTTTTATTATCCTTTCCTTCTTGTAACTGTCCCCTGTTCAAAGGACTTCCTCAGTCTCTCGTTCTCTCTTTAACCCTCACATTCTCACCCATCAGACACATCCTCGTTTTCTCAAAGGTCATTTTCTTCTCTTCATTTTCCCTTAGATCTGCTGTTATTTTCTCTGCTCTTCACTTTTTATTAAACTGTTTCTTCTGTTTCTCTTCTGGGTTGTTCTTGTTTTTGTTGTTGATTTGTTTTTTCTGTGGGTTTGATTGGTTTTATGATCTGGGTTGATCGAAAGACAGAAAAAGAATCCCATTTTGGCAATGGGTTCGTTTTATTTTTTTGTTTGATTAGATCTGTTTTCCCTTTTTCTGCTGTTTCTTGTTTGATTTATTTTTTTATCTGACTGCTATGTTTTGATGGTGTTTTAGATTTCAGATTCTTGATGGATCTGATGATGCTTGAATTTTGATTTTATAGACCCACAAATGAGAAAATTAGAAAAAAAAAAAAAACAAAAGAGAAAGATTGGATATTTGTGCATAGATGGGAAATTAAATTACAGAAAGATATACTTTTTTATTATGATTTTGCTAAAGATAATTCTGATGGTTTCAGTAATAAGCATCTGGGTTAATAGAAGGGATTGGTGGAATTTAAGGGATATTTGTTCCAAAAGATAACATTTGTTTTTGTTATATATATCAGGTTGTAGAAGATGGCAGATGCTGAGGATATTCAGCCACTTGTTTGCGACAATGGAACAGGAATGGTTAAGGTAAATCATTGAAAGCTTTTATCTTTTGAGTGAAAGTTTGAGTTTTTTTTTTACTTACTGTTATGTCATGTTAAGGATAACGGTACTGCCTTTTTATCTGATATAAGTTGAGAGTAAAAATGTTACGTTTTAGGCTGGATTTGCTGGGGATGATGCCCCACGAGCTGTGTTCCCTAGCATCGTGGGTCGGCCACGTCACACTGGTGTGATGGTTGGCATGGGCCAGAAAGATGCATATGTTGGTGATGAAGCTCAATCTAAGAGAGGTATTTTGACCTTGAAATACCCTATTGAGCATGGTATTGTGAGCAACTGGGATGACATGGAAAAGATCTGGCATCATACCTTTTACAATGAGCTTCGTGTAGCCCCAGAAGAGCACCCTGTTCTCCTTACTGAGGCTCCTCTCAATCCTAAAGCTAATCGTGAGAAGATGACCCAAATTATGTTTGAGACCTTCAATGCTCCTGCTATGTATGTCGCCATTCAGGCCGTACTCTCTCTTTATGCCAGTGGTCGTACAACCGGTAAGATCATTTAATGAATAAATGATTGATCCATTGAGTTTCAACTTTGTTTGGATTGTGCTTAACTGAAATTGATAGGTAAAGTTCTCAAATATCCTAAGATGTGTCTGCTGAGTGTTTCAATATAGTCCAACTTATAAAACCTGCACTATTGGCAATGTAGTCTGACTTATAGAAACTGCACTATTGGCTGGGTACTATTGGTATAAATGGCATGAGTTTGATTCTTATAAAGACATGCTATGAGCACCTGTCAAAATTTTCCAATTTATTCTGCTTGGCTAGCTGGTGAAATCTTTGAATTGTAACAGTTGGAGTTGAATTGAATTTAATATGTGGAACATATTTTTGCTATGCAAGAGACAAGTAACAAAAATGTTGTGCCTTTTTTGCGTAGGTATTGTGTTGGACTCTGGAGATGGTGTCAGCCACACGGTCCCTATTTATGAGGGTTATGCCCTCCCACATGCCATTCTTCGTCTTGACTTGGCTGGCCGTGACCTCACTGATCACTTGATGAAAATTCTAACTGAACGTGGATATTCCTTCACGACCACTGCTGAGCGGGAAATTGTGAGGGACATGAAGGAAAAGCTGGCATACATTGCTCTTGACTATGAACAGGAGCTAGAGACATCCAAAACAAGCTCGTCAGTAGAAAAGAGCTACGAGTTACCTGATGGTCAGGTTATTACCATTGGTGCTGAGCGTTTCAGATGCCCTGAAGTGCTTTTCCAACCATCATTGATTGGTATGGAAGCTGCAGGCATACATGAGACCACATACAACTCCATAATGAAGTGCGACGTGGATATCAGGAAAGACTTGTACGGTAACATTGTCCTCAGTGGTGGTTCAACCATGTTCCCTGGTATTGCTGACAGAATGAGCAAGGAGATCTCTGCATTAGCTCCCAGCAGCATGAAGATTAAGGTTGTTGCTCCACCTGAGAGGAAGTACAGTGTCTGGATTGGAGGCTCAATCTTGGCTTCCCTCAGCACCTTCCAACAAGTAAGTTAATTTACTTTTGATTTGCATTTATAGTGCTTTAGTTGCTTCCTCAAGGTCTTACATTAGCTGATTTGCTTCCTATTTGGTCACAGATGTGGATAGCCAAGGCAGAGTACGATGAGTCAGGTCCATCAATCGTCCACAGGAAATGCTTCTAAATGTTTTGATATGAATAGGATCGAAGAGAGAAAGTTCTGTTCCACCATTTCTTGGTGCAGCTTGCAACTTTGCTTTTGTTCTATCTTTGTTATCCATCTATGTTTATTCTCATGTTGGAGTGATCAATGAACTTTGAGAAAGCGAGAGGTTTGATTGTGGTCCAATTCTTTTAATTGCACTTTAATATTGGTAAGTTTGACTATCCATATCTGGTTTCTGTGGCACCCTTCCTTTTAGCCATTACTATTCATGTTCGAACCAATTTCCATGGACTATTCGATCCTTCCCTTGACCTTAAATTGATAAGCCTAGCTAGACTTGGACTATGAACAATGATATTAGATTCCCTTATTTCCATACATTTTACAGCTTGGGGTTGGTGGCTCTGGTTGAATCCTTACATGTTTCAGATTGGATGGTTTTCAAGAACTGAACTGTCTTTTTCTCTTTATCCCAAGCTTCATTTCGTTTCCTTCGTTATCTTCTGAAATTTGATTCTTTCACTTGGCTGACCCGTCGAACCCCATTGCTACCTTTCAAAGCACAATTGACAGGACGTCAGGCGATTCTGATAGGAAGAAAACCACCACTCCTTCACTTACAGCCTTTATTATTCATTCAAGATGACTGTCAAAGACGAGTGTCCCAAGTTATTTATTCGAACTCGGAATTAGCTTATTCGGATTCAGAGCGATTGTTTTATTTGAATTCAGAGTGAGTATCAAATACGAATTCGAATTATAGTAATATATAAGAAATACTGGTTTAAAACTTTAATAGTGGTTGATACTTAATAATGGTTGGATAAAAAAATTGCCCTCACCTTTAAACATTTTTAGAAAAATTATATAAATGTTCCCAAAATTTTATTCTAATATCATAAAATACTGGATCATCAAGTAATGCTTCAGTTACCACTTTACATTGGTCATCCAACCTACTTTTGTAGCTCCTATCAAATATAAATAAAACAAGATTTTAGCTAATATTACTCAATTAATGTTTTTTTTAGTATTTCCCAAATTATTTTTTAACCAATCCAATATTTGTATATATCCCACCTAACATTATAATACATTGTGCAATTCCTTCCCATCACTTTTTTCTTGGTTTGCATCTTAATGCAACAATAAGATCGATCTATTTTGACCTAGAATCAAATTTTTTTTACATACCATATCAGGAAAAAATGCTAAAGAACCTAAACCCGAAAAATATTCGAACAAATATAAAATATTAAATTTTTACATTTGAAGTTTATATTATTTTCAGATAATTTCATTATTTGTATCTCTTTCGATTTTATATTTGAATTTTTTCAAGCATCATACAACGAACAATTATAAAAAAATCTCAAATTAATTTGTCTATCATTGTTGTATTACGTACAAGTACTAAAAGATCGATTAAGCTCGAGGAAAGCTTAAAGCTTAGGGATACAAGTACTAAAGAAATTGTTTTCAAATAAAGTTTTCACATGATTGGAGAAAGCAATGATTCTTCAGTCTCTTGCTGACCATCCTCACAGAATGGATGTTCCGTTTCTCTGTTAAATCTATCTCCATTGATTTCCAAAGACTGATTAGTGTTGAGTTTTTGCTTCTCTGGAGCTAACTTGATCTGATTGTAGCTGTCTTCTTCTGTTATTCTGATCCCTTCCTTTGATGGGACTTTCTCTTTAAATTCCATGAAATAGTCTTCCCCATGGTTTTGAGAATTCGATCTTCCATAGTTGGTAAACGACTTGAAACTTTCATCCCTTGAAGAGGAAAACTGGTTGAAGCTCCCAAAACCTTTGATCCCCATTGTTAGTCTTCGAGCTCTTGCTCTTTCTCCTTTGAGGAATGACTCATTTTCAAGTAACATCAAGGTTTTCTCTGATAATTTTCTGACATTCAAGCCCCAATTGAACCTGTTTTTGCATTAAAATCACACAAAAAAATTTGATGCAAAAGCTGATTGTGATTGATGAAATTAAAGGTACCAAAATTACCAACCTTTTCTCATCGATATATTGAAAATCTCCCATTTCCTTGATTGAATCTTTATCATTCTGAAACTCCTCAGCAACCCTTAAAGGACCATGAGTTAACAGATGTTCCAATAAAACTAAAGCATTGTAACAGGAACGCCAATTCTTTGGATCAAACTTTGACAATCTGAATTATATTTGAAGGCAAAAAAAAAAAAAAAGAGATAATTTTACAGTGAAAATCCTGTTTATTGAACATAAATTAAGCTAAAATTTGAGGTGAAAAAACCAAGAAATTAATTCACCTCTTGTGTAAAATATCAACAATTCTCCAATAATCATCAACTTCAAAGGCAGCCCTTGATATTGCACTCATGCTACAGGCATTTGGTGATAGCATATTTCCATTTGTGGCTTCTTCTGTTAATCTTCAAAATAAAAACCAAGAAAAAAAAATTAATCTTTGGATCAAACAAAATTGAAGAAATTTAGAAAAGAAAAATGAAGCTTACAATTCTACTGGTGTAACATCTGTTAAAGCCAATCTAGCAGTCTTGATCTTTTCTTTGAAGAAAAAAGAAGCTTGCTTTTTGAATTCATGGAAAACAAGACTACCCATTTTTGCAAATTTGGTGTTTTGGAGATATGAAGGATTAACAAGGCATGTAAACAAGGATAAATGTGAAAGACATTCTTGATGAAGTTTCTTTCATATATCCTTAGCTAAGCATACAGGGTGCAACAACTCCATTACAGCAAAAAAAAAGAAAAAAACAATTTAAGTCACCAACTACTGTCTAAAAAGATGATTTGCATATGTAATGAGGTAATATATATATATATATAGAGATTTCATTTTTGATACACTTAAAATAGAATTTTTAAACTCCATACAATTAAAAGATCAAATATATCCCATTTTTTAATATATATTTAATTTATTTGTCATTTTACTAATCTTATAGCCTAAAAATTATCGATAGTAAATGAGATAATTTTTCACCCATATATACGACCTTGCAAGAATAATATTTTAAATGAAATTAACTTGTTTAAAGGTTGAAGCAGGTTTGGAATTTTTTAACGTTTGAACTAGAATTGGTCCAATTGGAAGGGAATGTATTGAGATTGAGAAAATTAAAAGGCAAAGTTGGGCAGAAGGCTAGTCTAAAAAGATTTGTTGAAGTTTAGTGCTTATTCTTGACCTAAAAATTGGTGCTACAGCACTTTAAAGTGCAGTTACCACTGATTTTTCTACATGGATATTTAGTAGTTAATTAGGTACCCAATTACCTACTTATTTTAGGTTCTAATCAACTATACATACATACATATATATCTATATATATATATATATATATCCTTTTATTTCAGTTTCTTGTCTTCGTTTTATTCGATGTAACTTGTAATTCAATGTAACAAGGACGTTTGCTCTATTTCATCTGGGAACAATAGAAAAAGAAATCCAGCAATCCAGCAATCCAATCATTTTAATCAAATCTTGATTTTAATTATGTTGAAGTATTTTTAATTTGATGAGAGTAAATTTAAATTGTAAATCTCTTTTTTTTTTTTAATACCTAGGATTGTAAAAAAAATTGAACTCTAATAACAGGTAACGTGCTTCAGCTGCTCCTTCAAGCACTTACGGAGGAAATATATTCGTGATTTAATTATCAAAACGTTAAAAGAGTAAAAATGTGAAAAACACAAAAAGAGTTACCTGAATTAATATTACAACCGAAAAAACTGCATGTCCTGGCCGTGGCTTTGCATAAAGAAAAAGCTCAGATAAACTGATTTCAGCTTACTGTAAAAGTTTTCCTAAAGAATGTACTAAACCGAAGGTTATCAATCAGCTAGATCGCTTCTCTTTGTTTGTCGTTGCTCAATGGACGGACCCGGGAAAATGACAACATCAGGTGCTAATTTTCCACATACGGGTTCTGTATCCTACAGACATGAGAGCAAGCTCCCAAAGCATGTTCGGAATGCTCAATGGATTTACCTTGGATCCAGGAATTTCAGACCAGTTTACAGATATCTCGAGCATTGGGATGCCGAACCATTTGCAAAGGAAAACCAGTTCGACATCAAAACACCACCTGCACAATATAATCCACAATGCTAAGTTGATCACAGAAAATTTCGAGTGGATTTATCAGAGAAGGGAACAGGTAGAGGAAATCTTCTCTTGCTACAACCTAAATGCTTGACCTAGAAGAAGTTCCTTTGAAACAAGACAAAGTCAGAAGCGTGTTCAAATTAAACAGTAGATGAAAATTGAAAATCGGAGAGAATTGTTAATTTTTCATCTGGTTTTGATAGAAAGAGGAAATCAAAAGAAATGTAACAAATTATAAGTGACAAATTGACAATTTATATCCAAAATTACTTGGCAAATCTTTTCAAAACGAGTGAGGTGTGGACTGATGAAACTAACATGAATAGGAATATCTATTACTAAAGAAATTACTTAATTCCTCTATTATTTCTTTTCATTCTCAGCAACTCAAAGAAACTGAATTTTACATAAGACTGCACCTCCATCCACTACTTTCTATTGTTTATATCTCCTTTTTAGACACTTGTATCCGTAAACTGGAAGCAATAGAAAAATACCATTAGATTATTCAAGAGGTAAATGAGCATGTGTCCGATGACATTACACTAATCTACACATGTAATATAGTGTTGTTTTGAATATTTTATGACCGGATATGCAAGTAATAATACTTAAGGACGGGTTGATCAATAGTGTCACCAAAGTCAGAATCACCTTTTCAAACGGATGTTTGTGAAAAGCTTCCTTGCTGCAGACCGAGTAAACATCTTAAAACCACACTGCGTTTTATGAAGAACACAAAATCAGGAAAATGCTTATAGAAAATTTACTATATTATTCATTTCAGTTAGTAATATAGAATATATGTACTCATTCATAGACTTTAGGCCAAAAGAAATGGAAATTTATGCAACGATGTAACACACCTGTGTATCACGAATTCCAGGGCCAGCAGTCAAGATAACCACAAGATGGAAACCCTTCATCAAAAAATTGCGGTACCACTTCCTCTGAAACATAGATTGAACAAATTCAACTAGAAGAAATGTGCAACTTAGACAATGAAAATCAAAACAATGTTAAACTGAATGCGTCACTAGTGAACTTAACTGTAGCAAGAGCTTTCTCCTCAAGATGAGCACGAGAACCAAATACAACTAATGGGATATCAGATATTCTGAAAGTTGTGTCACTGGCAGCTGAATCCCCATGATGATCATCTTTTCTGGCAACTACATGGATCTGAAGTGCAAAACATCAGACAATCCATACCACACAGAATATCCCCAACATAGGTAGTAAATCTTTTACAAACCTGATTTTCAAGTTTTTCTAGGTCAGTAACCTTGGTAGCCCCATCAGCATCTAGCATTAGAAGTAATTCACCACGTGAATGTAGCATTCCCTGTTTTACAATGCTTTCGCAGAGGTAAATAGCTTTAATCAATTGTTGTCATGCAGGAGCAGGAAAGCATAATGCTTTCAGTAGCATCAGGAAATATTAGTGAATATCCAAATGAATGGTTTAGGTTAAACTCACTTTTCTTATAGCTTCTCCTTTTCCGTGATTTTTACCAAGAAGGATAACCCTTACATTGTCTACACCATATTTCTTTACAAAGTCAAAAGCTACTCTCTTTGTTCCATCCCTACTTCCATCATCAACGATCAATACCTGCTCAGTAACTCATTCACGTAAGAGAGATGCAGACAGCAAAAGCACAGTTAAATGGTACATTTTTAAAAAGTTGGTTATTCTACCCTAAGGCAGTAAAGTCTGCCAGAAACACACTTAACCTATCTAAATCTAAATTTCATTAGAGACACGAGAGACTGCTGAACAAAATAGACTTCATAAAACCAATTTGATGATCCAGTGAATAGAATGAACAAAATGGTACCTCATAAGAAAATGACTTATCTTTTGCTGCCCGTTGTTGAAGATAACTGCAGAGTAGCAACATCACATCATTACTATTTAACATCATAATCTTGTTGGTTACAACTATGTATATAGTTTTAAATTACTTCAAAAGAAATATATCTAAGAAACCATATTTTCCATCCTGAGAAATACAAGACAAGGATTAATCGAGCTACAGATGGAGAATAGAAAGTTGAAGTATCACTTCTGAACCACAACTGCATCATGAAGTAAAAGCTCCATCCTTTACTTAAGAAACCATGTTCTGATGTTCGAGCCAGTTTAAGATAAAGCATTAACAATATAGCAAAGACTTTTAGCGAGCTATGACAGAATGAATGGTACTGTCAGTACCAAAATCATTTTCAGAGAGCATATTTCTTAAACTTTATTGTTATCATGAGAGAAATTAAAATCAATCAATTGAATAACCATGCTTCTTGGCATCAATTTTTCTTATCCCTTGTTTTGTGAGGAAATCAAATTCACATGTTAGCATTCCAAGATAATACAAACTATTGAAAATATATATCCCACATTATGAGACATATAACCTAATTATGTTGTCACACACCAATCCAACCAAAGCACATCCATCCAGACATCCAGGGAGTTTAAAAGAGAAGCATTAACTTACTTCATGGTTTCATCAAGCGCTCCAGGAAGCCTATGCTCTTCATTGAAAGCAGGAATTATCAACGACAAGTATTTCTCCGCTGGATCAAAAATATAAGGACAAGGAACCTGTAAAAAAAAAATCATCCAGCAAATTCTTAGCATCCGTACGCAGTTCATATACATCATTATCCCATAAATATATTAATTAAAATGGAAAACTCATTTTAAACATAACGAATACAAAAATGGTGTTAGAAAATTCTAATTCTGATCATCATTTCTCACATATATTTATAATAAAGTTGACTTCTTCACGTCCAAAAAAATCAATTCGAAGCCTTTTTTATTTTTTTCATTCAATTATTTGCTTCAAATAAAAGGTATTATAAAACAAGTTCCATTTTAATGAACTTAATTAGTGCTAATAACTATGTAGTTATATTTAGATTGTCAAAGTTGACTTTTCCATCAATTTCCTAAACAAAATCACAGGAAAACAAAAGAAAAAATAAATCGAAATTTGACTCATTTTCTCAGTAACCAAACAAGCGATAACAAAGAACAATAAAAAAAAATAAAAGTGATTACCTTTTTCAATGATTTCGGATCCTCAAAAATCGCAGGCGCTCCAACATGACTAAATTTAAAAAGAAAAAAAAGAAAGTTAAAAATTAAAATAAAATCAAATAATTATATATAAAAATAAAAACTGGAAAAGAGGAAATTAGGGTTAGAGAAAAAGTACGCATTATTGTGACGTCTTCTGTAAGCTTCAAAAACGATTAAAGAAACTAAACCAAAAAGAACGATCAAAATCAAAGCAGCCAACAACTCCATCATCGTCAACAAAAACCCCATTTTTCCTTTTTTTTTTTTTTTTTTCTTTTCCCAGCTTTTTGCTGCTTCTGGTAGTGCCAAGATTTAATAGTGTTTTTCTTCAACGAGGATTGAAATTTCAGTACTTTAAAAAAAAAAAAAGGTTATTGAAGGAAGAGTAATGGAGTTCACAACACCAACAACGCCCGTCTAGCTCAGTCGGTAGAGCGCAAGGCTCTTAACCTTGTGGTCGTGGGTTCGAGCCCCACGGTGGGCGATTTCAATTTCGTGGACTCTTTTTCTCAAGAAACAAAGCCCAAATAATGGGCCTATTTTCTCTGCTTATATATTTTTTCTTTGTTCTTTTAATATACTTTCCCATTTTTCAAACTCAAAATCTTTTCATTTTCAAATAATGATATAATAACACAATAAAAAAATAATATATATAAAAATAATATAATTTAAAATTTTAGTAATAATTATATATGTGTTTAATAAAAAAACTATTTTATACTTTTATATCTTATAAATTATGATATGTAATATTTATATAAAAAGCAATTTAAATACAAAAATTTTAATATCAATATAAATACACAAATCATTATGTTTAATTTGAGTTTGTGGAATTATACCAAAGTCTTGATTTGATATTATTAAAAATTTAAATTAAACAAAGTGATATGAATATTTTTTATATATTATGAATAATAACATGTGGTTTTAAATGATATTGCTTTAACATTTTGTCATAATTTTTAGGAACTCGAATGGTTTTATCATTGTTGGCAATGAAGCTTTGCCTTTAAACAAATAACCATTATTGGAAATTATGACTTCTACATTTCATCAAAGAATATAAAGAATTACACTGCACATGAATTGTATATGTGAGGGAATTTCTCAAGCTTTTCCACCAAACCAAAAATTTCTCTCAATAACTAATCTTTCCCATCCAATTCTTCAGACATAGTGGCAGTTGCCATAACCTGCACCAAACATAAATACCCAAACAAAGAAATTAAACAATGTCTTTGAATTTTAAGTCTCCATGTACAAAATTAAGCAATTTTTTTTTTTTTTTTGCTTACTTGGATTGACAGTGGTGATTTGAGCAGTGCCAGAAAAATCACAGGCGCTATCAACTTCACCTTTGCTTCGATAGAAAGAATTCATGGCAAATGTTGCACGAGACCTCGTGGTGGGAGGTTCAGCACAAGGTCCACCAGGTTGAATTGGACTGCAATTAGTACCTTGGCTACATGCATAATCCAGGTTTGATTGCAATTGTGCATCTGTAACTCCAGGTTTCGGAACACAAAATCTCTTGCCTGATGGTACTGGTGTTGCCGGAGATGGAGTTGGTTGTGGTTGCGTAGGTGTTGGTACCGGCTAATTAAGTCATTTGATATACAAGGATGAAAGAAAAATGAATCAAACCATACAAATTAACCATGTCATGTATTATATATATGTATAGATTTAAAATTTAACAAGATAACATGAAGATCAATGGATTATGATTTTTTAATTTCTTTTTAATTATCGGATTTTAAAACTCACTTATTAGCATAATTTATATAAATTAAAGTAAGACTAAGTTTATTTTGATTCGAATCCAAACTTACATACATTGCAATCATTTTCTAATCACTAAATCAAAAGGTTTACGAATATTTCTTTTAAAATAACAATCAATAAATCAAATTTGATTACGATTAATCAATCATGCTTGCTCATATCATTTTTTTTCATTTAAATGAGAATTTTTTATCTAAATTTTAGTGCAATTGCAATTCAAACTTTAGTTAAAGTAAAAACGAAAAAAAAAAAAAAATCTTACTCGGCCATTGCGCAAAACTCCAGCATTATAAACAGGGGTGAAATCTGGTCTAAACAATCCCCAGTTCTTCTCAGCAAGAGGACCTGGTTTTTGATTCTCATTAAACAAGCCAAAAATATAAGTCTCAAACGTCCTATTTGGCATCAAAGGTGTCCCATTGCCTGAAAGGATTTCCCTAACCAAATTCCCATTGTAAGAAAGTGCATTATCAATAGTAGCAACTAGGTTTCCCCCATCACCCTGAGAAGGCCAACCGGTTTCACCAATGACAATCTCAACATCTCCACAACCAATGGCACTCATGGCCGAAAATGTCTTGTCCAAAAGAGCATCAAAGGCATTGGTGTATGTTTTGCCACTATGTCCATCAAACAAACCAGGGTTTCTTTTGAAAAGGGCAAAGTCCAATTTGTTTCCTATTGCATTCAATTCAAAGTAAGGGTAAGGATTGATCATGAATGGTGATTTGGTTCTACGATGGAATAGTAGTAAAGGTGCAAAAAAGCTCTTTGCATAATCGATCCTGAACCGAGCCAAACTTGGTACTGTGAGACCATTGAATATATTAAGGGCATGAGCCGATGTAACCTGAAAATTTTTGACAAATTGTTATAAGTAAAAACCAAATTTAAATACAAAAATAACTTTATAAAAAATAATTAAATAGTGTGATTTATTGATAGAATGTTGAACTAAAATTTAAATCTCATTCTCGATTATTAATAAAAAAAAATTGTAATTTTCTGAACATAAAAGCATTGTCGAACCTTAATATCTTGAATTTGGGAATTATGCAAGGCACGGTTAAGACATTTCATAGCAGGCAAAAGATTGTTAATTTCAGCAAGGTTGTTTAAAAGCAAAACTTCATTGCCAACAATAATATACTTGATCTTTGTCTGTGGATGAAAAGGGCGAATATGAGCATTCACCCATCGCCTAGCTGCTCGAACGGTCGTTAAAGAAGGGATTTCTCCATTGGCAACCGTGACTGAGACCGAAATATTTGTGTTAGCAAAAGCTCTAAGGACATCAGGGTTGGAATCAAAGATTTTAACACTATCAAAAATTGTTTGGGTTTTGATAAAGTTGGCAACTTCAGTTGGTGAAGGGAGATTATCAGCAATCATGCCATAGTTGACGCCGAGGGCGGCGGTTGAGGAGAAGAGGTGGAGGAAGGTGATTAGGAGGAGGAAGAGGAAGAGGTGGTGAAAGGAATGGTTATTGGTGAACAATGTCATGGTTGCAAAACAAAAGTTGTTCAATCTTTTTGACCCTTAATTTTTCCTATGGGTTTATAATTTATTTAAATAGAAGAGAAATCAAGAAGGAAAAGTAATTTATCTTCAATATTTTGACAGATAGGAAGGGATAATTAACAGCTTGATTCATTAAAGGATTCATTAAAGGATTATCAACTTTTGACCTTTCAAAAGATTTAACAGTCTAATTAATCAAAGAGAGATTTTCCTGATTTTGGAATTGTTTCCAAATTTAGCTTTCCTTTCTCCTTTTTTCAACCCCATATTATTTGGCTATTGAGAAATTTTCGTGTTTTTATTTTAAATGGCCAATTATTTTTGTGTTTTTTTTTTTAAGAGTTGGGTTCTTGTAGTTGATTTCCAGCATGTGCAATTCTTCTTTCTTGATCCCTAAGGTTCTCTCTTGTATCAAAGACAAAATGTGTTATAAATATTTGTTAAAATGCATAGAAAAATATTGAATTTTTTAAAAATTTCTTAAAAATTAATTATGCAAAAAATCTTATTTTCTAACTAATTTAATAAGTTGCAATCAATGATGTAACTCTTAATATCTTTCTTATATTTTACTATAATATTCATAAATAAAGCTTCAATCTTATATACTCTTTCATATAAATAAAAATAAATAATTATAATAATACAACTCACCATACATCGAATATCATCTATAATCATTGTAGTTAATTTAAAATTTAATATGATACTAATTAAATCAAATATTCACGTGTCAAGATAAATCCTTTTCGAAAATACCTTGGCATATTATCCCATGTTGTTTTCCATTATATAAAAACAATAATAATTGTACATAAAATTAGGAATTTTCAATAGAAATTAGTTTATGAAGAGAGAAAGAGTTGCTCATGTCGAGAATTAAAACCCAACATTGTTAAAGCTTTTTTTTCCTAATACTAATGAAGGATTTGACTAAAGCTTTTTTTTTTTCATGGCTTTCTTTCTTTCTTTCTTTCTTTCAAACATTCAATTTCAAACAAGGCAACCGCTTTACAGGAATTTTAGCTGAAGCAAGTAAGCAGTTTCATCTCCAAAACAAGCCAAAAAAAAGTGAAACCGTGGAATCATTGCGGGCGTGACGACTGAGGAGTGCCCACTTGTTCATTGTTTAGCCCAAGTGCAAGCTTTTTTTGAAGTTTGAAACCGCGTTGTCAGAGGCGGCTTTCGTTTTCTTTCTTGGCGACTTTGTTTGTTCTTTTGTATATTATCCAGCATCTTTGGTGAAAATTTTTCGATACATATAAATACATATTATTTATTTCAATAAAAAAATAATTACAATAAAATATTATCTCATACATACAATATAATAATTCTTAAAAATAACTCAAAAAAGTTTGAAAAAAAAAAAAAAACAGATATCTGTATCTGTTTTTTTTTTTTTTTTTCTTTAGCCTAAATAAATCTTTGAGCAAGGAAGATTGGGTCGGAATTAAAGCCCATGGGCTTATTGATGAACCAAGCCAATTTTGGGGATAAAAAAATAGAAGCCGAATTCAAACTGCACCCACCCACCCACCAACCCTAGTATTTGCATTTGTTTTTGTAAAACTCACTTTATTTTGTATATTATCGATTATGCATGTTTCAATCCAATGATAGCGACACCAGACTCCTTGTCATCACAAAGGCTCGTCTATCTTTGGACCTGGATCATCAAACTATTTCCACTAACGTTGTATCACCCTGACACTTTATAAAAATTTAACTTACATTTAATATGTTAGTAGTTCATCTAAAATCATTAAATGTGATCAACATTAATCCACATAGATTTTCATTAAACTTCACATAAAATTTTCATCAATTATCACCTATTTTAATCCTAGCACCACTCTATCATCGTCCAGATATCACCATCCACTTCTCATATAAGATAAACATGAGATCCAAGTATGTTCATGAATAACACTTCTAAGTAATTTACCTTTAAGCTTCCCTTACACTTTACCTTTTTCTTCCTTCATCTTTTGTATACTTATCTTACTTAAATGTTGGAATGCATCCCAAATAACAAACTTCGACATCCCTTGATTATACTTTATTGTTGCATATCTAAATTAACGTAATTCATCTCCCGAATCACCAACTAATTTATATTCACTAAAAATACCATCAACAGATTGTTTATTTAATGCATTATTTTTATCAAATTTAAGAAAAAATTTAATGAATAAATTACACATTTCTTTCTTTAAATATTACATTTAACATTTTAATATTCTTTCAGTTTTCTTGTAAAGAATGCTTCAAGGAATAGATATGAAGCCTTTATATAAACGATATTATAATAAATGCTCTTAATTTTTTATATGTGGGATTTGGAGTGATCATATATCATGCATTTAAAAGGTTCGTTTCAACTATTTTCTTTTTTTTTTTTTGGCTTAATCCAATTCATATTTTGCCAATAATAAATTAATCTTGTGCAGCCCACAATTTTAAACACTTGACTTATTTTTTCATTACAAAATTTTATTTAAAATTTGTCCACAATTAAGAAAATTATAGTTAATTTGGAGAATATGTTTGCTTATGTTACATGCCAATTAACAATTGTAACTCATGCATAAGGTGGACCAATGTGAGCAATTATATATCCTCTGCAACATATTTTCATACAATCAAAAAGTACCTCCACATAATCTCTCATCATCTAAATTTCATATCAAATTCTTGAAAATCAATATATAATAATTACAAAGTAAGAATTTAAGTATAATTTAAAGCCAAGTATCCTTTACACACCATTTTTCTTCTTTCTTTCACCCTCTCTCTCTCTCTCTCCCCCTTTTTTTTCCTCTCATAAAACTACAAGAGATCATGTTGAAAAGATTTTATCCTCCAAAAATTGATCATCTTTTTTTATCAGATTCAGAGACTGAGTCAGAAGACGGTCTAATTGATGACTATGTTCACTATGAACATCTATATCAAAAAAGAAATAATAATAGAAAAAATTCCATTAAAAAGGAATGTAAGAGATCAAATACGAAGGAAGTTACACTTGTTAATGGAGAAAGCAGTCAAGATAGGGAAGCATTCAAGGAAAAGCCAGGTTTATTTATATATGTTGTATTCTTATTTTTCGTAGTAACATTTATTTTACTTTGATTTATTCTTCATATTTTTCCTTCTTGTGTTACGAATCGATAGGTTTTTCTTTTGCTATGCCAGAAAATGAGGTGATAAAAGAAGCAAAAAATTATCAAGAACACATGAAGCAGATCTCAGTCCCGGTTGCCCTGGAAACGTCACCAGAACTTCCGTTCATTACATGGCAAAAATTAGCAGAATCAATGAAGCAAAAGTATGAGCAACCATTACATTACCTCACTCACATGCTCTTGAAACAATGGGATCAATCAAGAGCCAGTACTACAAAGAATGAATTAATCAAGCCTATTAGCAATGTTATTCATCCTAGTAAAGCTGAAGCCACTGTCTGGGTTGTTGAAGAATTTAACAGGCAGTTTGCTTCTCATCACTACCTGGCTGAGCTCTGGCTTTCTGATCCAAACTACCATGATTTTGTTGATACAATCACCCCTAAGAATTGAACAATTTGGTATATGATCTTTTAAAGTCATGTATGTGAAAACTTGTTGATGAAAAAGTTGTTTGTGATAAAATTGCCTTATTCCATAACCTTTAACATATGAATCAATGTGTCCATTTTAATTTTTTCTTTTTTTTTTAATAACACAGTCAATTTTTTTCAAATTTTGTTAGAATTTAACCTGTTCTTTGACTGATTTATATTAGGGACACATATCAAAATAAGAAAAAAAAAAAAAACATATTTATTCATCAATTGGCAAGAAAATAACTCTCTTTTGCCAACTAAGTTCAATTTTTGTGTAAGCATTTTATGAATTAAATTTTAAATGCATCAAATTAACGTAAAAAAGTGCATTTAATGAATATTTTCTTTCCGTAAACTAATTTAAATTCAGCTCAATTATATATATAAAAAAGGGACAATTAAAGAAATAATTAAAATAAAGGTAAAGTTTTAAACACAGCAAGTCACAAATAGTGGAACCAGCAAAAAATCTTATATTTGGAGTCAATTGATTACTAAACTATTTTCTGCCATTAGATAATTTAATTTTTTTTCTTTAAAAACAAATGCATATGCCAAAAATTGCTTCACCATTAAATTTTTAACAACACAATGCCATAAATGAAAAGTTTTTAAGTTTATCCCTTCATTTAAATTCTTAACCCTTTTTTAAATATTTGGTAAGTATCCCTTAAAAAATATATATTTGGTAAGTAAAAAATATATATATTTTTTCAAAAGTGAACGTTACATCGTCAATGTTTACTCGGGAATCTAGCAAAAAATGACAACGAAAATCCATTTCGATTTCTTGTCTATATTTGGACAATATCCACATCATTTTGCCTTGGCATACCCTATAGATATTGATTTATTGCAATATGACCCTTTAAATAATGGATAATATTATTTAAGTTCAAGATTTTGAACTTTATTTCACTTTAGTCCATATATATATATATATATATATATATATCTGTGTGTGCCTTATTCCTTAGTTCACTACCTTCGCTTTACCCTCCTCCCTCCCCCTTTCTAACTACTAAGATTTTCTAACATTTTTAAATGTAACACTAATGAAGTCTTCTCATTAGCGTGATCTATGCGTATGTTCACTTATATATATTTTTTGTTTTCAATGATATAATATTTAAATTTTACATATAAATTTTAAAAAATGTAACGGTCGATGTATACATTCGCATCAAATAATCATCATAAATTATTCTCAAAATAGTAATTTTTTCTCTTTTATTTTCGTTTTATAACTAATAAATATCATGCTTATTTGAATAAATTATATGTCAAATAAAAAAAATCGAACAAACTTGATGATATAAGTTATTGTAATTATCAACCCTTGAAATCTATTGTAAGTAGAAAAGTACATAACTTTTATCCATTACTTAAAAGTTAGCCTACGTTGTTATAGTTTAATTAATACCAATTAGATATTATCTTATTTTTTGATAATCAACTCAAAATTTTAAAATCAAAATCACGCGCGAACAAAACAATTAGACAATACGCGACATATATTTTCATGCAACGTATTATTCACTTATTTTGCACATTTATCTTCATGTTTAAAATAATATTGTACCCAGTAGATTAACCCTAAACAATATCTATCATGCATATTATACTTGCTCATCAATCAATTGATAAATACATAGCTTAAATAAACTCTAGAAATTATAATTGTCCAAGGGCAAAATTGAAAAGAATTTAAATATTTTATGGGACCAATATGAAAAAAAAAGGAAAAGTGCAAAATCTGCAAAAGCGACCAACCCCGTGGCTCCTATTTATAGCGGATATGTAGGACGTGCAAAATCCACCAAAACGATATAGCGTTAGTGTTTCAAGAATCTAGCAGTCATGGTGAAAGAGGAAGGAGAGTCAAGCTCGAGCAGGGATGAAAAGCAGCGGTCGCCACTGACGATAGCCACCTTGCAGATAATAAAAGAACAGCCTCGTCGAAGGGGCAAAAGGAAACAACCTGGAGGTTCGATCATGCACTTTGATAACACAGACCCTGGCTATGGCTGGTTGCTGCCTGGTTGGATTGCTGAAGAGCGCCGCGTCCTCTCAGGCAGGCTCTATAGGGTAAAAGCCCTGTTCATTCATACATAGATACGTTCCATTATTCTTTTAGGGATAAAATCCGAACGCCTGCAATCACGCTGTCTATTCCTAGATTTCGACTTTTTGTATATATATAAGAAAACTTCATTAATAATAATTAATTAAGATGATGACGATGCAGTATTATTATGACCCATCTGGGCGTCAATACCGCACCCAACGCGAAGTCTTGTATGCATGGGAAAGATCGGGCGTGGTTTGCATTGATTTTTGACCAAACTCAAGCCAAAGGTGAAACCAAAAAAAAAACCCATAATTTATTTTTAACCATCTCTTCCCCTAATTTTCTGATTATCTTTACATGATTAATGGGTAATATATGTTTGATTGCAGGGTTTATTTGTCAAGCAGGTCATAATAATAATATAATCGTAAAGAAATTGGATCCCCAGCTAGAGCTAGATGATGAATCTCTTGTATCAAAGTTGAATTGTTGTTTAACTTTGGCTGTATTCCATACTTTTGTACCTTGGAACAAGGTGATCTTAAATTAATGAATAAGACCTGTTTTAGCTTTACAAACAATGTCTTTTCAGCATCTTTCATTATATAAATCATTATATATATATATATGACTCCATTAAGTAATGGTGATAAAACTATATATCTCACACTGATTTAAGTATATCATTCCATTGGAGTTTTAAGTATTAGACCCTTACTCAATTTTTATTAGGATTGGATAATTTTAAGATTGTAGTAAAAAAAAAAATTATAAGGGAAACAGTCTCTTCTATATTCTGATTGGTGTAGGTAATTTGAAGTAGGACACTCCTGGAAGCTCTCTTTTTAAGTTTTAACCTTTGACAAGCCCGAAGGAACTGAGCTATCCCTATCCCTATCCCCATCTGCAGCTTGTCTGCAAAATCAACAAAGCTGAAGTGCCCTCTTTCGGAATCAGCTGCTTGGTGAAAATTGAAATTACAAAAAAAAAAAAAAAAAGTGACCTTGATCAAGTTTGTTAAGAGATGAAAAGGTGATTATTGATAAAAATTAGTGGTGCAAGAGGATTCAAATTACAATCCAATTTGATTTTATTTATTTGTTTTTTCATACAGTCAACCTCAGAATATGAAATATAAAGTTCAGTGTGTTGTTATTGTCATTGATCGAGTTTGTTCAGCTTGATGCATGGCAGAAGAAAGAAGAGACAAGTCAAGTGAAAAGTAGAGTCTGTACACCATTTTTTTCACCTCTGATTTGTTTGCAGTCGATCTAAAATAACCATCCAGGTTACATTAAAACATGCTAAGAGAACGTGGTATTTTGACCAGATTTTCCTGTGCCAAGCCTCCTTCACTTGTTAGTGCCTAATGCCATCCCAGGTACCAGCAGTGCTATGCTATAGGAATAGGAGGTGACAGAATTGAGCCAAAGGATTTCACCATCATGATGCATGCTTAACATAGGTTTGGGCCTGAGACCCTCCTCAGAATGATCAGTAGTTTTCTCCAACTTCAGCTGTTGTATGGAGAAGAAGAAACTTGCCAAATCTTCCTGAGAGTATTCATTGATATTATTCCACCAGCTAAGTTTTGGGTTTCTACTAAATTTCTTTCCTTTTTCTAAGTCTGTCACATGATACATTTTTTTGTTTTTTTTCTGAATTTATCACGCGATATTTTTTTTTCGGTTATTAGTATACATGAAGAGAAGTGTTATCCTCATAAGTGTTATCGTTATAAGTTTAATGTGATTTTATATTTAAATTAAATCTCTTCATTTATTGCCATAAGTTAAAAGAGAAATCCAAACTACTTGTTCTATACTCAGGCCAATTTCTTTCTCCCCCATAACATGGAATATTGTCTTCCTAACAGTTTTACAATCCCCTCAATAGTTATCTCAAACATAGGTCAACTAATCCACATAATGTGCTTAAACTGAAAGTCACATGATGCAATTTCCTTATCCTATTGAGCTTTGAACATGTGAAAGTGCCAGGCAAACCAAAAGGAACGGCCTAGAGAGAAACATAAAAATAGGCATATTTCTGCATGCTTTAAGACTTCAAAAGTTTCTAAATGGCAGACCAGCAAACAAACATTGACTAGGGTTTCTGCTTTTGACAACAAAAAAACAGATGCATCATCAAGGAATGTAATAAAAGCAACCAATACTATTCATTTTGATGTGTATTTGTAATCCAAGCATACGATCTTGATGGCTGCAGAAGATACGCAACCACATTTCCACAATGAAATCACATATTAAGAAAGAGCAAATATTCTAAGAAAAAAATTTCCTAAGCCTGAAAAAATAAGAGGCAAGGGAAAACAAATAAGATCTATAAGATGATGCACGTAGTATGATAGACTTTAGGAGCTGTTTCAAACCAAAGAATGCTGCAGTAGTTCTCAGAACCCAATACTGTCACTCAGCCCATGCATAAAAAATCAAAGAGAAACGTATGACTCCCCAACTCGATATGAGAAATGAAGATACCGGAATGACAAAATATGGTGTGTTATTGTCTTCACTGTGAGCTATATGAACCTGCCCTTTATTCCGAGGTCCACCACTTATTCACTATCAAGGGAAAAAAATAACTAAAGAAAAGCCGCAATACAATTCATCTCACAAAAAAAGAACTTGCATCTTCCAGATCAAAAGCTATACATGTCAAAGCGCCCTGAATGAAGAATGCCTCCGCCTGTCAAGCTTCAATCTGCGGTTACTATCAATGTTTATGGGTTTCAACAGTCGTTCCGTTTCTAATTCGGATTGAAGCAAAGACTGCAGCCTCCTTAAATGCCCATTACACTGTTTATGGTCAGAAGAAACAGTGCCACTAATATAGCGTTCATCAAGAGTAAATTGTCGCTGGTAGGGTGAGTTCCACTTTGCTTCCAAGTAAGCAAGAGATCTCCATGGAGGAAAAGGCATTGAATTTTGCTTGAGAGATGACCTAGCAGCATCTACCATAAGCTGAAGCAATTGTTTTAACATAGTCAAGGAGCCCATGTAGACAACCGGAAGGGAGTTCAATATTCTATCATAAGAATCAACTGCTCTAGCTATCTCAAAGTGGCTTCGGAAGTCAATATCAATAATCAAACGCTCAGAACTCCCATTGTTGTAATTGACCACATCAATATACTCATGATCACCTGCATATATGTCACAGCTGCTTTTGTCAAAATTACTATAGTTTTACTGATTTATGTGTAAATTAAAACAGTTGTAGGAGGGGTAGGAAACCTAGAAAACAACATGCAAAATATCACTATACTTTTAGTACCCCTTAGGTTTTTAGAATGATAAATTTATCATGAATACATGTTAGAACTAGTTGAACAGAATCATGCTGGGGAAGCTGATTTTCATCATGAATTATAGGGACAAACTCTCTGATACATGCAAAATAGGTATCAGATGCAGCAGAACATAGATTCTCCATGACCCACTCACACGCAACCACACAAAATACAATGAGAAAGAGAGATATGGAAGGAACAATCAGGGCAGTTCAAAACTTCAAATTAAGACTTCAGGACATCTTGAAAGAATAAGCTCAAAAAAAGTCCCTTTTTCTACCTTCTAGGCAACAACAAACTCTACTATTAAATGATCCAGGTACAAAAAAAATAAAATAAAATTGAAGAATCCAAAGGAGCTTTCAAAAATTAGAATTCAGATGCTCTTGGAATACCTCCAGGAACTTTGCCACTACCCTGCCACCTTGATGCACAAACAGCCGCATCATAGCCAGAAAGTCTCAACAGCTTTACCAGAGAATATCTGATGCAGCTGGCATTACATGGACCCGACTTCACAAAGTGTAGGTCCGCCTCACTGATGGATAATATAAGTGAATGAACCACTGACAACAAGTCAATCTGACACTGACCTACCGAGTGCCTATAGTACTGCAACATGACATAGCAAAATGAACGAGAATTACATAAACATTAAGCAAATGCTTTTGGTAGGAAAATGATATGGTAAAAGTACAAAGAATCACCAAAATTCACATGATTTCAGTTTCAAAACCAAATAGAGTTGAACTGGATCAAAAAGCAAACTACAGTAAATTCTCACAAGGCCTAATTTATTTATAAAAAAAAAAATTATAGGAAAAAAAAAACAGATTAACCTATCGATGGGGCAATCTGAGATGAAGTTACCAAAATTATAAAATTTAAAAAAAAAAAAAAAACTCAAATTAAATGAGCAAACATTAAACTTCAACCCTTAATTAAACTAGTTCTTTTACATATATAAATTGAAAACTAAAAACCAACAAAAAACAACGCAAAGAAAATAACAATAAACCCAGAAACCCAAAGAGGAAATATATAAAATTCAAAAATACCCAATTAAAGAAAATAAAGAAAAAACTCAAAAAATTTTCAACCAATCAAAATTAAACCTCTAAAAAAGGGAACTAATTAACTAACGGAGATTTTCTCGGCAAGGTGGATAAGATCGGAGAAGCCAGACTCGCTATCGCTACTACACCAAGAATCGCCGCCGGCGCTTCCACCGTTATTTTCCAAAAAATCGGTAACCATAAAAGCCAAATCATGCTCGCTTTCATGGCTAAACCCCCATAAATTATTATTATTTTTAATAGAATTAGTGTTATTTTGATGATCCTCTGCGGCTACCCATACGCTGCACTCCATCATCGCCACAACACACCACCGCCGTCCGATCACAATTTCCCCACTCCCTCCTTACAATTCATACCAACCATAAAAAAAGGGCGTTCCCGTAATCTATTTGAAGCTCAGGGCTTTTTTTCTTTTGTGGTGGGCAAGGAGAAATGGAGAGGGAAGGGGAAAGAGCTGGGAAGGAAACGAAAAGGTGAAAAAAGAAGCGAAGAAGAAAGACGGGTCTGGAAATGAAAAGGAAATAGGTATAAAAATGTTTTGGAGTAGATGGAGGAAATGTGAAATGACCATAATGGGCCTGAGATATTTTTGTTACGACAGAAGTTAATTTTTTTGGATATGGTGGAAAAAAAAATTTTTTTGTTAGGATTTTTGTGGATAAAAGCTAAAACGAATTTTTTAACCAAAAAAAAAGAAAAAATGGTTGTTTCCTTTTTAATAATATGAGAAAGAATTTTTTTCATTTTGTATTTTGTTTGAAAAGAAAGAATTTTTTTCATAAAAATTAAAAAGAAATGAAAGAATTTTTATTTTTTTACTAAAATATTAGGAAAACAACTATTGAATCTTAAAAAAAGAAAATAAATAAATAATTCAACAAAAACAACAATCAATAAAAAAATACAATAAAAATCAAAGCACAAAAAATAACACAGTAAAAATCCCCTAATAATTTTTAAAAAATCTATTCAAAGGAAAAAAATTATTAAGTGAATTTTGACGGAAATATTATATATTTAATTTATTTTTTAGATTATTTTATTTAATCCTTGTTTTTTTTCATTTTCATTTTGGTTTTCAAGATATTAAAAGGATAACTTTTAAGCTGGAATTAGGTCAAATGAAAATATTGTTGGGTCAAAAAAAATAGAATTGGGGGGGCAAAATGATAATTTTAAATAAAAAAAGAAACAAATAAAAAAAATGGCTCGGTGACCAAGCCACCGTGCAAATTGAATGGAACAGAAAGAAAAAAACAGAAAAAGTACAGTCAGTGTCTAATCTAATATATTAGGAAGACCAAATCCTTACGTCAATATAATTAAATCACCGAATAATTGATTAATGAGTTGGCATTTTATTTTTAGTTTTCTTTGTTTATATCCTCACGTCAGAATCTTTTATTATCATGTGCATAAATTTCATTTTAAATTAATTTTTTAAGAATTTGTTTATTAAAATAAATATTGGGATTAGAGCTCAAATATTTATAATTGATAAACAAAAAATAATCTTTGAATCCGTTAGCCTCATGTTGACTGTTAATGTTTGCTCTGTTTAATCATCATATTAACACTACTGTAAAGTTCATTCAAGTGCTCGGTTGATCATGCAAATAAGGTGAAAGTAAGCTATGAAGCTGAGATTTTGGTTCCATTTTTTTTTTAATTTTTCTCTTTTAAAATTAGATTAAAATTATTAACTATATTACTTCATTTATAAAGTCTGTGTCAAATATGAAATATTATCCAACATATATATTTTTTTAAAAAAAATTTTTATATTTACGTCCGCTAAATATATTTTAGATAAAAAGATTTCATAAAAAATAAAATCCTTTAGCCTACATCATAGCATAAATTCGAACTTTGAATATATTAATTTTACCATCGACGTCATGACTTGACAAAAATTAAAGGACCTAAATACACTACAATCTAGAATAGTCATTAGTACCGTTAATCTCTCAAATTAGTTAACATAATATTAAAATTGATACTTAAAAATTATTAATTTAAAAAAAATTAAATTCGTGATTTTTTTTCAATAAGATATATAATAGGATATAAAAAATTTAAAGGTAAATTAAGAAACTTCAAAAAAAAAAAAAAAAAAGTAGCCATTGATACTAGGTAGGTTGAGGTTTAATTTTTGAACTGACCTAAAGCCGCAGCAAATTGATGTTTGTGCTTATCATTAGTCATGGCAACCCATCATAATATAATTTCTCAAACTGCCTGGTTCTCACCAAAAAAAAAATTGCAAAGGCTTGCAACTAACATAGATTTTTTATTATTCTGCGATTAATGATCATAAGCTGCCGGCTTCTTTCAACGTTGGTAATCATACCTACAACAAATGTTGAACCTCCTTCGAAAGGGAATCAAATGATTCCCCACCATAGAGAACTGCCAAGCCAACTGAAGCTTAATAGAAAACAAAATTATGGATCAGAAACGACAGATCCTAACCTAACAGGCTTGCTAATTCACAAGGAAATGCAGGCTATGCAATATGGCAGAGAGATTCGATATGGAAAGTTTTCCTATGATTGAGAAATAAATTGTCCACTAAGATCCAAATAGCAAGGAGACTTGTGAAGGTCAACTAAATTCAAACGGACAAAAGAAAACAATGCTGCAATAGTTATACCTTAGAATTAAATCACAGAGGATAGAAAAGAAATAAATTATCTAAAGTGCAGGTAACAATGCATTCACCTGAATCATCAATCATAATTCCATGGCCAAGATTTTGAAACAAACCGGTTCAGTTTCCGACACATCCTCAAACTCACAGCTTGGTCGACAACAAATCATGTTAAGATTCATTTCATTAATTCGATATTTTGCTTTCCTAGGAGGTTGTGGATGATAACCATCATTTTCCTTATGATTAATATTTTAAGCTTACAAAGGAGACGGAAAGTTCAGAGGACTCACAGTGTCATGAGCCAATCTTATATAGGGTCATGATCGGGGTTTAGGTTGTCATGAGCCACCCATGTATAGGACCATGATCGGATAAATCTTTTGTGCTAGAAAAAATGTTTCCATTTCAAACATTATAATGGTTAGTGGCAGCATAGCTCTAAAATCTCTAAGGCTCTTTAAGGAATAAACGAGCAGCGTACTGTTGGACTGTCTCACTGGTTGCAATACGGGCCTAAGCCATCCGCCAAGGGCTGCCCCCCTGGCCCTGACGATGGTGGGAAGTCCCGATGTACTATCCTTGATTATAATAAAATTCACCTCCGATTCGAATGTCTCGAATGTTACCTTGATGTGTTTTTTTTTTTTTTTGTCGATGTGAATGTGCCTTTTTGTGTGTGCTTGAGATTAATCTCGATATGAATGTGTCTTATTGCGTATGCTTGAGACTAACTGTGACTTATAGTTATTTGTTCAAATATCAAACTATTGAGAGCTGACTTGGGTGGGAACGTCCATTTAAGTGCCGCACGGTCTATTGCTTGTTGAAAGAAAGCCTAGTCCGTGACACGTGGTATCAGAGCACGAGTGGTGGGCCCAATTATCAACAGAGACTTGAAAAACTTGAGGCCGCGGTGGCCACAGTGAAAACTCACATGGTGACTAAAGATCAATTAAGGGAGATCGAGACAACCCAACGGAAGTTGTCTGATACTCTCCACAACGTGAGCGAAAAGGCTAGAGATGCCTTGAATGTTCTCCAAAAAGAGTTTAAGGAGCTTAGAGCACAAATGAGCATTATACAAATGGCTGTGGTCAGATCGAGTTCGAACTCGACAAAAAGGGGAAAAAGGGCCAAGGTGACGAAACCTCGATGCTATGACGGGGCAAGAGATGCCAAGGAGCTTGAAAACTTCCTGTTTGATATGGAGCAATACTTTCGAGCTATACACACGGATTTAGAGGAAGACAAGGTAGCAATGGCGTCGATGTACCTCACAGGGAATGCCAAGCTATGGTGACGCTCCAAGTTTGTTAATGACGAGTGTCTGATTAAGACTTGGATGGACCTGAAATAAAAATTGAAAAATCAGTTTTTTCTTGAGAATGTGGAGTATATGGCTCGAAGGAAACTTCGAGAATTGGTGCAAACAGGAACAGTGCAAAAGTTTGTGAAAAGTTTTTCTACCCTGATGTTGGATATTCTAGACATGTCCGAAAAGGACAATATATTTTATTTCCTTGAAAGCCTCAAGCCTTGGGCCAGGACAGAACTACAAAGACAAAAAGTGCAAGACGTGGCCATGGCCATGGTTGCAACTGAACGTCTCCACGATTATAATGATGGCTCTTTAAAACGAAAAAAGCATCTATTAATTGGCAATAACTTCAACTTTAGGAGTGAGGGAAAGATGACTAGGTTGGACCAGCCCTTCAGTGGATGATCAGACAGGAGGTCCTTTAGTCGAGATAGCACCTAACCCAAGACAAACAACGTAGTGATTTTCAGGCCTAGGCAACCACTAGCTTGCTTCTTATGCAAGGGGTCACATCGGGTGGCCGAATGCCTACACAGAAAAGCCCTTAATGTCTTAAGAGCCTCGTCTCAAGAGTCCGTAAAAGTGTCAGAGATTGTTGAAGAAGTTGAAGAGAAGTCAACTAAGATGAGTTCAATAAGGTTCCTCAATGCCCTCCACACCCAACTAAATATAATAAAGAAAGAGCAAGGTAGAGGCCTGATGTATGTGAATTTAATGATCAATGAGAAGGCCACTAGGGCCATAGTAGACACGGATGCAACCGATACCTTCATCACACCATAAGAAGCAAAAAGGTGTGGTCTCCAGGTTATCAAAGACTGTGGGCAAATGAATGCGATTAATTCGTCAACCTTTACAATCAGTAAAAGCTTCAAGAGTGTGACTACCAAATTGGGGCCATGGGAAAGGAATATAGACTTTACAGTTTCCCTCATTGATGACTTTGATGTCGTCCTCGGATTGGACTTCATGATGTTGGCTCAGGTGATCCCTATCCCCGCTGCTAGTTGTCTGTTGTTCTTAGAGGAACACCCATGTGTGGTGTCGGCCACTATCTTGCCAAAGAATGGGAAGAAAATGATCTCAGCTTTACAGTTCAATAAAGGGGTAAAGAAAAGGGAACCTTCTTTTGTGGCCATACCGATTTATAAAGAAGGGTTGGAAGTGGAATCGATACTCGATGGCATGGAAAAAGTGTTGAAAGAATTCGAAGTGGTGATGCCAGGGATGTTGCCTAAAGTTCTACCTCCTCGAAGAGCCGTGGACCATGAAATTAAGCTCCTCCTAGGAATTAAACCCTCTGTTAAAGCCCCTTACCGCATGGCCTTACCAGAGTTGGTCGAACTAAGAAAACAATTAGATGAACTTCTACAGGCCAGGTTCATTAGACCATCAAAGGCTCCTTTCGAAACACTAGTCTATTTCAGAAGAAGCATGATGAAAGTTTACGATTATGTATTGACTACAGGGTCCTGAACAAAGTCATCGTGAAAAACAAATATCCCATCCCTCTTATATCATATTTGTTTGATCAACTAAGCCGGGCCAAGTACTTTTCCAAATTGAACTTGAGATCTGGCTACCATCAGGTCAGAATCGCTGAGAGAGATGAGCCAAATACCACTTGTGTAATACGATATGGCGCATTTGAATTTCTTGTTATGTCATTTGGACTGACCAATGCTCCTGTCACATTTTGTACATTGATGAATCAGGTGTTCCACGACTATCTAAATAAATTTGTAGTCATCTATTTAGACGACATAGTGGTATATAGCTCCACTCTGGAAAAACATCAAGAACACTTACGCTAGGTGCTTCGAAGATTACAAGACCACCAGTTATATGTGAAAAAGAATAAATGTGCATTTGTTCAGACCTAAATCCACTTTCTCGATCACACTATCGAATATGGCCACATTCGAATGGACATGAAAAAGGTTAGGGCCATCAAAGAGTGGATAACACCGAAGAATGTTAGTGAACTGCGCTTATTTTTGGGACTAGCCAACTATTGTAGAAGGTTTGTAGAAAGATACTTTCGTAAGACCATAACCATCACAGAGCTATTGAAAAAAGAGCATAAATAGTGTTAGACAAGTGAGTGCCAAAAGGCCTTTGAGGGATTAAAGGATGCTATTATGAAAAATCCTATCTTAGCTCTCCCTGATATTGAAAAGCCTTTCAAAATTCAGACGGATGCATCTGATTTTACTATTAGGAGAGTGCTTTTACAATAATGTCACCCAATAGCATTTAAAAGTAGAAAGCTAAGCGAAACTGATAGGAAATATATGGCCCAAGAAAAAGAGCTTTTGATGATAGTTCACTGCCTGAGAGCTTGACGACATTATTTGTTGGGTTCACACTTTGTCGTGAAAACAGACAATGCGACCGTTAGCCATTTTCTCACCCAACAAAGGCTTACAGCGAAACAAGCTAGATGGCAAGAATTTTTAATAAAGTTCGACTTTTGTTTTGAGCACACCGCTGGAAAAACCAATCAAGTGGTCGATGCACTGAGCAGACGAACAGAGTTAGTAACCCTTAGAAGAATTACCCTAATGGTGGCTAGTAGAGTCACGACAGACATTCGCAAGTTAATTGAAGATCATTTAAGGAATAACCCGCAGGCCAGTGCCATCTTGAAGCTAGTTGAAGAAAGGAAGTCCAAGTACTTCTGACAAGAAAATGGAATCTTGTGGACCAAAGAGCCCTAATTGTTTGTGCCAAGAGCAAGAGATTTGAAACAGATGCCGATGAGAGAATGTCATGACACACCATGGGTCAGACATCCGGGCTGGCAACGTACTTTGGCTTTATTGAAACAGGGATACTATTGACCTCAGATACGATAAAATGTGATAGACTATACAAAGATTTGTCTCATTTACCAACAAGAAAAAATTAAAAAAAAAAACCTACAGACATGCTTAAACTACTACCGATGTCCGTTAGACCGTAAGAAAGCATATTTCTTGATTTTATTTCAAACCTGCCCAAGGTTGGTGATCTTGGAGCTATTTTGGTGGTGATTGACCATTTCTCTAAATACGTCACATTCATTCCCACTCACAAGTATTGTATTACGGAAGACACAGCTCGATTACTGTTTAAACATATGATCAAATACTAAGGCCTCCCTCAAAATATTGTAAGCAATAAAAATCTGAGATTTTCAGGATCTTTCTGGAAAAAACTTTTCAAGATATTGGGGTTTCAACTTAAATCTTCTCAAGCTACCACCCTCAAACCGATGGTCAAACGAAATGGTTCAATGGATTACTAGAGGAATACTTAAGGCACTTTGTTCAAGCCAATAAGAAGAAATGACCTTCATTATTGGACGTTGCTCAGCTTTGCTTTAATTCCAACAAAAGCTCTTCCACTAACAAGAGCCCGTTTAAGGTAATCACCAGATAATTATCAAGACTACCCCTTACTTTCTTAGAGCAATATGGAGGGAAGAATCCAAGAGCCTTCAACCTCAACAAAAAATGAAAACAAAACACTGAGATTGCATAAACTTACTTGGAGAAAGCATCGAAGCGAATGAAAAAATGGGCAAACAAAAGTTGCAGGGCGCAATAATTCCAAATTGGTGATTTAGTTCTTGTTCGACTAGTCCCTGAACAAACCATGTTCTTGAAAAAGAGAGATCATAGATTAGTGTGCAAATATGAAGATCCTTTTCAAAATGGGGAATGCTTCTTACAAAATTGACCCACCAAAATGGATGAAAGTGCACCCAGTATTTCATGTGAGCAACCTGAAACTTTTTCATGCAAATCTTACAGATGCTAACCGAAGGGAACCAACCAAAGCTACCATCACCATGAAGCCACCTTCAGAGCGTCGAGTCGAAAAGATCTTAGCCGACAGAGAAATCAAGATATCTAGAAGACTAGTTCATGAATACTTAGTGAAGTGGGATGGATTAGGACTAGAAGAAACCAACTGGAAAAAAGAACATGACCTCCGAAGATTCAAGAGAAAGATTGAAGAATTTTAAATGAACAAGTCGATGAGAATATGTGAGAGAAGATGTCATGAGCCAACCTTGTATAAGGCCACGACCGAGGCTTAGGTTGTCATGAGCCACTCATGTATAGGACCATGATCGGGTAGATCTCTTATACTAGGAAAAGTATCCCCATTTCAAACATTATAATAATTAGTGGTAGCATAGCTCTAAAATCTCTAAGGCTCTTTAAAGAGTGAGCAGGCAACGTATTATTAGGCTGTCTCACCGATCGTGATACGAGCCTAGGCCATCCACCAAAGGCTGCCCTTTTGGCCCCGATGATGGTAAGAAGTCCCAATGTACTATCTTCGATTATAATAAAATTCACCTTCGATTCGAATGTCCCGAATATTGCCTTGATATGTTTTTCTTTTTGTCGATGTGAATGTGCCTTCTTGTGTGTGCTTGAGATTGATCTCGATATATATGTATCTTATTGCGTATGCTTGGAACTAACTGTGGCTTATGGTTATTTGTTCAGATATCGAACTATTGAAGGCTAACTTAGGTGGAAACATCCATTCAAGTGCCGTATAATCTATTGCTTGTTGAGAAAAAGCTTAGTCCGTGACACACAGCATGTGCTAATGAACATTATTTTAATATCCCCATAAGTTAGGGTGGGTCAAATGAAGGAACATGAAATGCTTTTCTAGAGTTTTCTATCTGGCTTTTTAGGCCTATCCCAGACCTCTCTCTTGGGGGTTTCCATCTTTTCTAAAAACAAGATGGATTCTCTTTTGTGACTTATGGTGCAAAGAATGTGATAGAGACAAGGAATATGCCTTGGACCACTTCTACGGGGTTTCAAGTTATTTTATATGTCAAACAAGTACAACCTTACCATGCTAATACTAATAACTAAATAAAAGGAAATGTTAATTTCAGGAATGTCTATTCAATTAGGATCAAGATAAGTTGTATTTGAGAGCAAGATACAACAATAACACAATCGTTTATATCCAAATTGCAATTCATTGAGAAATAACACTGAGCAAAAGTTTTTATGACATGAGTAATAATAAATCAGGAACTGTACAACAATAATGAAATATATAAAATGAAAACTGAAAATAAAAAGGGAGCACTGTCTAACATACATGAATCATTTTCCACCATTCAGCTGTGGAGAGCCAAATCTTGCTTCAAATTGTTAGCAATCATGCTTTTGGACTCTTTGCAATGGTTAGCCTGAGCCATGATTGACTCCTATATATTGGTGCATTACTCTTTCTCATTCATGATCAGAACATCTTAGGCAACCTCTACGTTGATGCCACCTTCAACAAACACATTTGTCCCTGAGCTATATTTTCTTTCACCATATATATCACATCAACATCCTTCTCTTGACTTAGATCTTGAATTCTTATAAATTGTTTTCCATGACAAACAACATGCAATGTTCCTAGTTTAGCGCTGCATTCTCATCTCATGAAAAATATCTAGCCCAGGCCCAAAGATCACGCCAAAGAGATCACAAAGGCTTTAAAAAAATGAGGTAAATGATGTTGTATTGACAAGAATTCTTAATATAATCCACTAGAATTGAGGTCTTCACAGCTTTGCGGGAAATAATAATTTTAATGGCTATTACAATAAGTTAACAACTTTACTCAACAAGGATTTAAAACAAATGCTGCAATTAATTCACTACTACAAAGAAAAGAGCACCAACTAGGATTCTCCAAAAAGCGTTGCAAAGAGAACTGAAGTACCTTCAATGCTGCCTGGCTGAAGTTCCAGTTTTCAATAAAGGAAAGGAATCTAAAATGAAAATGACTTGCTATCTCCTCAGAGGCCGCTGTAAAGCAAAAAGTATTAGTTTAGAAACCCCTGATCCAGTAATAAAATTTTTACAATCATGATCATCCGGCAATCTAGTTTGCTACCTTCAGACATGTCTTCCTAACACAAAGAGAAATCAGTAGGGAAAGAATGAAAAATGTTTGCAGAAAATATATGCAGACCACTGGTCAAGCCATTATCCATTTAGTGTTATAACCTTTAGATAAGACAAAGGCAAGAAGCAAACAAGAACATACTCTTGGCTCATTATTAGCTACTCGTGTATGTCCACTGGGTGCTCTATCTACATCTGGTATTTTTTCTGGATTATCATGCTTATAAAACGCCTGCAGGGCCCTCCCAACAAATGGACGAATTATATTCACTTCCATAGCTGATAAATTTGGAATCTGACCAATTTCAAGGGATTAGATGCACAGAAATAAAGAAGAGGAAAAAAATAAGTGAGACAAAAGATCCATAATTAACACAAAGATCATTGAGGCAATCCAGTTCATCTGAGGCATAATAGGAGAAATATAACATAGCAGTGAGCCTAAAACTTCGTGATAATAAGTATCAACAAATTCACAATGGTGGGAAAGAGCATACTTTAACCGCAGATGTGCCACTGAACTTTTCCAAGCTAGTCTCAACTTTATGAATCCTTACATCCCTTATGTCTTCAACAAGAGATCTAACCTGTAACAAGGATTCATAACAACTACTTGCAGAAACCAAATGGACAATAAAAAAAGGTTAAAAGAATCATCCAACTCACCATATACATGTCAGGAATGTCATCACGCGCACTGCCATCCACAAAATAGCAGTGTAAGCCTTTCTCATGTTAAACTGTATAATAATAAGGAAAAGGTATAGCAAGGCTTACTGGTCGAAAAGAAGTCTAGATATCTCCACATAGTGAAATGGCAGCGCCTGAAATGCCCCTTGGGTGTCTCTTTCTCCTTCCAAAACCCGTGTCAAATTTTCTAGTCCACAACAAAAACCAAAAAAAAAAAAGAAAGAACATTATCATAATGTATTCATATGACAGAACTGTAACCCAAAACCCCCACTATCAATTACCTAGCAATAGCATATTCTCAACTCAACTTCTGGGCCCTGTTCAAGCTATATATGTTCTCAAAAGAATGAAGTTAAAAAACAAAAAATCATGATGAATGGACCTTCCAAAAGAACATTTGTTTCTCTCTCATTACCAAAGGTAACATTATAGTAAATTTCCTGCAAAACCTTGGCCCGTTGGTGACAGCACACAGATGACAACCAATTTATTACGTTAAGTCAGTAAAACGTTTCAAGATAAAAGCAAGTAATGAAAGTACTCAGGCACTTGCACGTACATTCCATCATTTTGCCTAAGAAAAATTATCCCATCCATTGCCAGTGGAATTTTGAAGCTACACCAAAGGGATAGAAAACGAACTCTTTTACTTTATTGGTCAAATCATGACAGTATAAAAACATGAAGCAAACCTTAAGTACAATCCAAAGCCCTTTTCCTATTTGAATATACAAGTGAAATAGTATACTTGACTCGAAACAATGGCACCAAATCAAGTGTCACAAACTAAAAATTCTAATCCAATTTCGACAGCGGAAATAACTAAATCAAAGCATGGAGAGAAAGAAACTAACCAACTGACATCCACTGAGGAGGCCGAATCGCGCATTTCCCTCTCTTCTTTAAAGCCACCGCGAGCCATAGCGGTACCTGGGTCGCTATTTGAGGCAAAAATGGACCAAAATCACCCTGTAATTTCATCAAAATTGAAAACAAATTAGGCAAATTTTTTATTTCAAAAAAGAAAATTTGAGTTAAAATAGGCTTGAAGAGAGTACACAGATGAAATTGAGAGGATCCATTCGCATATTTGGCACAATCTCTATTAGTTCATCTTCAGCCATAAATTCCACCTGATTTAACCAAAATAAATAAATAAATAACATCACCAGCAAATTTCCCTCAACGACGACGTATAAAGGATAAGGAGAGAAGGGAAAGTGACCTCTTCGGCAGAGAAGAGAGAGATGTGAGGATCGGATTGACCGGCCATGTCTGCTAACTGATCTAGGGTTTTCTAGTTTGGAAATTGGATTAAATGAGAAATAATTTGGGTGAGTTAGAGACTGAGTCGAGAGTTGCCCGAGTGCATATGAAGATACTGTATCAGTGAATCGGTGCAAATGGGAAATGGGATCATGGGAAACCCTATATTCTTCCTTCTGTTTATTGGCGGGAAATTATGCGAGCTCGACCACGCGGCAAAACAATTAATTTTAAAGTTTTCAAAATTATAAAAAAGGAACAATTTTCAAAATATTTCTTTTACGGGAAACGTTTAAAATTATAGTAATATTCAATACAAAATATCTTAATGATAAAATCAGCTTAAACGACTTGGTGGGCTCGCCCAGCCCATTTCACTACATTTAAGACGGTAATTTTCGACCAGACACGGTAATATATTGTGATAAAAAAATAATATAAATTTTAAAATTTCGAAAAAATCATAAATTTAATAAAAATTAAAAAATATATTATATTTAATATATATGCTATAATATATATTCGTAAATTTATAGTTAGACATAACCCAAGAAGTCGCCACCAATCTTTTATTAAAGTGTGATTAATCACATAATTAATCTATCTTTTTAAAAAACTTTAAAGCTTAACTAAAGGTCCCTAAAGAATAAATTCTGACATTCTGAACAGAACTGAGTCCGACAGTTTGATTATATGTGAGGAAAGTTATACCACCCCATAATACCCATTCTAAAATAGTAACATTTAATTTTAAATTATCCTAACAATTATTTTAGTTCTAATGGTTTTTATTTTTAAAGTTGAATAATAGAAATAATTTCTAAGATTTCTTCATCAATCTGGTAGAATTCTTAAAAATACTTCCTCACCTTAAAAGTACTCAAAACTTTCATTTGTTTTCTTAAAAAGGCTCCATCATTAGAAAAATGTTTAATCACTTTTTATTATTGAAAATATTTCTAATTCATCTACCATTTAGGCTAAAATCAGAAATATCTTATCACTTAAAACTTTCTTAGATAATTTACTATTTGAGATTACTAAAAATTTCATCATTGGAATTTATTTTTTTCTTTTTATTTTTTATTTCTAAATTTTTCATCATTTGGGTCTATTTAAAAATTCTCTTCTTTTTTTTGTAGAAAATAATATGACAACTATTTTCTTGAAGTTTCATTTAAATTTTTTCACCTTTTGGAATAAATTTAAAAAAACTTTACACTTAGAGATTTCTTATAAATTAATCATTTGAAATTTCTAAGATTTTTTTCTTTTGATAATTATCAAATATTTTTAACCAAAAATTTTAACTAATTTTTTTTATTATATTTTTCTTTTTTAATTAAAAATAAATATTTATTATTATTATTATTATTATTGAAACTTTATCTAAATTATTCTACAATTTGGGACAAATTTAGAAAAAATTTCTTACTTAAAATTTTATAGAAATTTACCATTTGAAATTTTTAAAAATTTCATCTTTGGATAATTATTATTTATTCTCAAATATTTTATTTTTTTTATATTTTTTATTTTTCTCAAAATTTAATCATACAAAAAAACTTTAACAAAATAAATAAAATAACTAATTACAAAATTACAAAAACCAAAAATGACTCTGCTCGGTGGCTTCGATGCAACTCGATTTTAGACACAGAAATCGGTTCCAAAAACTCAGCTTGGCAACTTAATGTGGCTCAGCACAGCCAAAGGATCGTCTGGTACGTAAGTAAAAAATGAGTCAACGCTACAGGTTGAGTCACTCAAATAGAAACGCACGGATGCTGATGTCATTTTAGGAACGATATAAAAGCCCAAGTTTTGTCTTTTTCTACTCAGATTTTCCTTTCCCCTCTCTTTTTTCTTTTTTGTCTCTTCTTCTCTCTCTCTAGAAACCCAAAAACACTAGTTGAACTCCATCAAATTCTGAGAATTTTCATCAAAATCTAAATAAGTTCATCGAAAGTTCGACGGAGATTAGTTGGGTTCTAGAAATCAGTCGCCAAAAACTAAGAAATTTGTCGAAATCTATGATTTGATTGGAATCTGGCTGGAATCTTATTGAAAAATTAAAACTTACCAAAAAATTTCCCCAGATTCTAGAAATCTTCCAAAAAATTTCAAAAAAAAAAATTTATCCAAAAATTTTCCCCCAAATTTTAACTGTTTTCATGTGCTTTTTCTAACTTCTGTATCTCTGTGTGTGATCTCTCTCTATTTTCCCTGATCTCTATGTCTCCGATGGTGATTTGTATATTTTTCTGTTTCATTGTTGCTTCTGATCAATGGATATTTATAGGGCAAAAATCAAAAGAGTTTCTATTTAATTATGAGTCCACAATTGCTAGGATTTCACAAAACTTATATTTCATCCTATATTGATTGAATCCATCCATAATTCTACCAACCCCCATTCAAAGCAAAGATTCTCATTTTTTATTTTTTAACTTTTTTTAGTACTATTACCTTATTATCCTAAAAGATACATCAAAAAAATCAAAGATAAACAAAAACAAACAAATAAATAATCAAGAAAAGATAAACCCAAAAAATAATAATTAATTAATTAATTAAAAAATTAAAAAAAAGGTAATTAGGCCTAATTGTTTAGACTCTATTGGATGATTTGGGCCAGATCCAATTGATTTAGGTCTGGATCAAATAAGATGTCTACACCTGCTCCTCTTTGCACATTTATTGTGAAACAAGAATTGTGCAAATATGTAAACATCCCTCATATCCAGATAGTCATCCCAATACATTTTTTTTTTTTTATAATCAGACACCTAAACTTGCTGAATGACATAAAACTCCCCTAAGCAGAAACTCATAACTTTTGAAAAAACTAAATAAAGCTTCTCTAATCAGAGGCTCAACGACTTTTGAAACTAAATAAAGCTCTTATAATCAAAAGCTCAACAACTTTTAAAAAATAAATAAAGCTCATTTAAACAAAGGCTTAATAATTTTAGAAAAATAAATAAAGACGTACACACCTCATTACATCCAGGCGTGACTTAACAACAATTACAAAATTTTGAAACTTCAAAGATTCACAAGTTGAAGTATTTTAAAATTTATAATCTGAAATTTGTAATTGAAACTCAAAGATTCACAATTTCAAAATTCAAATGTTCGCAATTCAAATATTTATAAAAATTTTCAGATTCACAAAGTTTTCCTATTCTGAACCATTTGATTACCAAAATTTCATTTTCACAAGAATTTCATATTCACAAAAATTTTTAGGTTCAGAAGAATTTTTCAATTTCACAAGAATTCACAAAAATTTGATTCTTAAAATTTCATATTTGCAAAAATTTCATATTAGCAAGATTTTTCAGCTTTGCAAGAATTTATATTCGCAAAAATTTCACTTCAGATTCGTAAGATTTCAAGATTCGTATTTATAAGATTCACATCCAAAATTTTAATTCAATGATTTGCATGAAAATTACAAAGCTCACATCCAACATTTAAATATTCTAATTATGGAGAATCACACCTAAAAGTTAAAAAAAAAAATTTTGAAAACTTTAGGATTTCATCCAAAGTTTCAAAACTCCTCATTTGAGTTCAAAGATTCACATTCAATAAATCTTAGGGTTTCACATCTAAGTTCAAAGGTTCTCATCCAAAAATTTAAAATTCACATCCAAAAGTTCAAAGCTTCTCATTCGAGTTTGAAGATTCTCATTCAATAGACTTTAGGATGTTACATCTCAAATATTCTCATTTAAAACTCAAATAGTCTCATTGAAAACATAAAGATTTTTATCTGAAACTCAAATATTCTCATTTGAAACTCAAATATTCTCATTTGAAAACTTAAATATTCTCATCTAAAAACTCATTAATTTTATCATAAGAGACTTTATCGAAAGATTCAAAATTTCTTTTCCATATGACTTTCAAACTTTTTAGCAAAGTCAAAATTTTGCATGTAATAAATGTCATGATCAATGATGCAAATGCAACAATCTGGATTCTCATAATTATATGGATGACATACTCTAAGTCATAATTTAAATGTTTATTGGTTGATGCATGTCCAAACAAAGTTTTAAATATTCACCGAATTATGTGCATGTATTATTCAAACGACGATGCAAACATAATGCATGTAATGTAGATAAATGTCATGAAATTCTAATTAATTATGGTAATATGGTTCTCAAGACTCCTCCATCCTATATTTTTCTTTTTAGCTACTCAACACTAGTTATCCCAGAATAAATTATATCAACTGATATACATCATTTGCATCATTTGATCATAACTCACAAGCTTCTCAGCAGTAGTAATTTTGGCATAAATTTCAGCTACTGATCCACATATTTGCATTATTAGATCGCAACTCACATGCTTTTAACACTAGCAATTTTAGCATAAATTTCATCTATTAATTCATATCATTTTCATCACTCGATCACAACTCCCAAGTTATGTCAACTAATCCATCATTATATTCATCACTTAGTCATCCCAAATGTCTTTTCAATTTTTTTTTTATTTTTGCCCCTGGAGTTCTTTTCAAATCAAAAAAATATAGGAATCTTTTATGAACATTATCATTCATTAATTATCATTCCAAATCATGAAAAATATAATGTAATCATACATTTTCTCGATTTATTATAGGGATAAGAGAGTACAAGGTGAATAGAAAAAAAGGTAATCAATACAAGAATGAGTTTGGCACAAAAATAAATGAGAAAAAAAACATGTATGATGCATGTCATTAGGATGAATGGTATATCTAAACAATGAATATTCATATAGTTTTGAACATTAATCGAAAATTCTTTTTTAAAAACTCATTCCATTGACTTACCGAAATCATTTTGAACTCATCAAACTTTGTCCCAGCTTCAGAGGATCTTCGGATGTCTTTGATCTTCTATATATTAGAACTATCTATCCAACTTTTAGCTTTGATGTTTTTCTATCCAAATCGCCATTTCAGGTTTTCAATTTGAGTTTTCCTTTTTTTCTCCTTTTACATTTTCCCCCTTTTTTTTTTCTTCTTTCCCTTTTTATTCCTTTTTTTATTTTTTTTTCTTTCTTTTTTCACTCATTAGTGATATATTATCCACATCAATCTCTAAAATAAGATAGCATGATTCCATTATTTCATCACAAACAT